CAATTCTTGCATTAAAATATGGCAGAAAAACACAAGCTTAACAATTGATCTTTTTACTCTTTCGCAAATGCATGTAACACAACTTTACACTTGATGTAAATGCAATCGATCGAAGGATTAATCGAAAAAACGCCGAAACATCCGCTCAATAGAAATAGCGCGTGTAAGAGAAATTGTGAAGAGATATTATTCAATGACTGTTTTTCACTTTTGTTACATGTAGAAATAGATATTTTATTTTTTCCAATGATTCTAAATTTACTCGGATAGGAGAAATTACAAAGTGTAAAGTAGGAATTTGGAGTTAAGTATAGTTGTCTTTCATGTTCACTTATTTTTACCTTTTTTTTTTCACCTTTCACACACGTCCAATTATTGAACAAAGAATTATGTGGAGATAGCGGCTATCGATCGCTATTATTCGAAGTTGAAAAGAGTAACGCGAATGTTGTTAACCTTGCTATTATGATATTTGCATGAAAGCGGGTCTGTCTGAGCGCGAGCCTTTTATGCGCGACCAGCCGTGTGCGCTACTCGATGATATTTATGAGTAAAACGTATGCTTTACACTTAATGCAGTGTGACGTTAGTTCACCATTTTTTCTCGGAGTAAAAGTGAAAATGATTGCCACATTATACTGGTGCAAAGATTTTTCCTCTTGAGCGGATGTTTCGGCGTTTTTCCACTCACCGATTGCATTTACATTACTTGCATTTGCGAAAGGGTGAAAAGATCAACCATCGAGCTTTGTGTTTTTTTTGCATATTTTTATTCAAGAATTGTCCTTATTAAAATAAATAATAGTGGTGTGTATAATTACACGTTTGTAATGAAGTGGAACCAAAATTGATTGATTTATTAGCGCGGTACGATAACGCGTAATGATAGCTTCGACATATAAATCGTATTTATATTTTAATTAATAAAGAAACATACGATTTTGGAAACTATATATTTAAATAATTTTTTTAAAGCACTTTACAATTTTATTTTATTTCTATTTTATTTGAAGATTTTATGTCGTAAAAATATATGTAACAGGCATATGCAATATTATTTAAATACAATACTATGATATGATTTACATATACAATTATTATAAGTACACATATTTATGTAGTTGTAAGCATTACGTAATAAATAAAAAAATTGGCTGGTACAACTAGCGAAAGGCAAAGATCGATCATAAGAAAAAATTGCTCAAAAGAATTTTGCAAATTACAGTAAATAGATGTTTTGCTTTTATCAAATTTTTAAAAAATTATTGTTTAGATTTAAATTTAACGTTTTCTCGTGCTGTTTTGATTAGCGTGCCTACTTATTTCATCAACACTCTCTTTCTTTTCTTCGCATCTAATCAACCAAAATTATGAATTATTTATTACTAGAAAATTACTTATTTATGATATGTAATTGTGACAAACTGCATAACAGACTTTCCAGATATAGTGTACGTACAAGAAGAGCTTCTGTTTTATGATACCTAATTTTGTAAATAACATCTGCAGTAATATGAGTACATAACTTTATTACACATATAATCAAGTAGAATTCTTAAATAGGATTCATAAATTGGAAATCTTTTGATGATGATTTTACCGACAGCTACTTTAATAAGGCAGCTGTAAAACTGAGACCCCGATTAGTGTTAAGCCTTAGTGAACGTTCGCCAGACGGAGACACCTTTATCTGCATCAATAATGTTTAACATTTTAATTGTTAGCTGACAAATTTTAGTAATGTATTTTTGTAATATTAAACATTTTTTAAATATATTTATAAAATGTGTAATGGTTAAAAAGAAGCTAATTACTTTATCTAGACATTACACGAATGTTATAAGCAATATGATATAACATTTACTTAAACTAAATCTTTATGAGAGATTTGTTGATGAATTTGAGAGACTTTCACTTATTTTAAATAATGATTTAATATGGACGGCAATAAAGTTTCCATCGACAGTCAGCCGACCGATGCATATTGATCTGTAAAGAGTTAAGGTCCGTCTGATTATAGCTAAACAAATCAGTTTGAGTTGGACTGATCGAGAATGAAAGGCGGACAGGCGACTAATAATGGTGATAAGTTCACGTGAATTTCGACAAAACCAGTTTTTACTTCATTGCTGACTGATCTGGCTTCCTTTATAAGTGACGATTTACCTCATTTTTAACTTACCCATAGATCACCATTTCTCTTTTCTTTTTTTTTAATTTTTCAATCTGGAAGAAGCAATTATGTTAAGCAAAATGTAATACATAAAATGGACAGTTGTTTTTTTTTTAATTTTTGCATCTACTTTTTTTCAAAATACTTACATTTTGTACTATAATTGTTATATTTTTTATTTAAAGAATTGTAATTTAATATGCAAATATGAATTATATAGATATATTTTATTTTTTTATATTTTTTAATATGTGAATTACGTATCTATATATTTGATTTATATTTTATTTTTATATAATACTAACTAGTGTTAATATAACACAGTTATATTATTCTTGCCTTTATTTCTCTTTACGGAAAATTGTAGTGGTTTTACCAGATACAGACGGAAGAATACGCTGCAAACACGGCGTTGCGAATCGCACAAATGGTCTGACAGCACATCGCACACTGACCGTGCATTTGTGCAATGGAAAGTCCAACGGCCGTCCCCTCGTATGTTCCATTCTTTTTTCCCCTTCGATTTTATTGCGCTTGATTGAGCATCCAAGTTTCGCTAAAGATATAAATTTTATTGTACTCCACAATTTATGTCTAAATTATTACTACATTTTCTCAAAAAATGTAGAAATAAAATATGTGGTAATAATTTTTAGCATCACATATATGTCAAAATAACTGTTATTTTGCTAAATAATTACAATATTATATGGAATTTCTTATGATCTGTTTTATATTATGGCGATTGTAACATTGGAATGATTTATATGTAAAAAGTGAAAGGTTACTAACTCTTCATTTTACGTGTATTAAAGAAATATTTAAAATTCATATTTTGTATCCGTTTTTTTATTATGCATATTCTGAAATTTTGTGAATAATTTTCAAAAGTGAAATATTTCAACGGTCGTAAACTATCATTTTCTCTAAATTTGCATTTTGCATATTTTAGTATTTTGTGAAAAAGTTCAAAATAATTGTTGTCTCGAAATTTATTACTTTAATTATTTATTATTCGATAGTGTGTGTGTGTTAAATAATCTTGTTAAATAATTTTTGAATTTCAAAATCTGCAAAAAATTTACAAAAAGAATTATTATAGTAGCCAAACTATCAAATGATCAATTAAGTGATTCAGTGTCAGAGTTGCCTAAACAACAGTTTTTTTGAAATAAGTTATTGAAGTCAAAACTTGGACATAATTTTTAAAATTACAGGAATTAGTAATTACAAATTTTGCTGTTTAGACAACTGTGGCACTGAACCACTCGATTAAATTATAATTTCGTAATGAAACTCATGAAATATAAATACAAGTTGCATAATGCATGTCGTTCGAAGCAACTCGTAAAATAGAATTCTCCAAGATTTCATCTTCATCGACTTTCCATTCTGCGTATACTTAGCTGAATTGGCTACTTTCGACTACTGAGCCATGAGAATTATCATTAGCGCGAGCGAGTGTGAACGCGTCCTTGCTTTGTGTCTGATGAAAAGCAGGATGCAGTTTCTCATTACCGAAGCTTGCTCTCATTGTTACCTCTTAGAATTTCACGATCACGGGTATGGCTGAAAGAACTTCACTCTACTGCCACAATTTCACTTCATCGATTGTTTTATAAGAAAAATACATCTGTGAAATAAAAACATGGTTTTTTTTATTGAGAAAAACAAAACTAAATTGTTGACCTTAAAGTTGATTTTTAAAAAATTCTAAATGTATAAAAAAATTAATGTGTTTTGAAACTTGCTCGTCGAGTTTTTATTATTATGTGTAATATCTAACGATGTAAGTTAACAAGTGAATACGGCCGGAAATTATATTTAATTTAACAATAGACTCTTAATAAAGCTAAGTATTGTGAAACAGTTGTGTTCGGTATCGACGACGTTGTTTCACCCGGAAGAGGACGCATAAACGGTGAACTCGTTTCGATGAGTTCCGCGCATCGACGACGATTTACGCGCAATCGCTTAATCACGCGGTAATCAGCGGCCGCTCGTCGCCGTCCAATGTAATGCCCGTTCACTATCGTCAGAAAATTTCGCCATTTACAACACTACAAAGTTGCTACACGCTTTTACAAGATTAGGTACTCGTCGTCCTTACGAAAGTCACTCGTGTCTGTCATCACGTGCGTTTCGCATTACATACTCGCCCGCCTGCCCGCAATTATCTAAATATCGGAGAGAGGAAGACCTCGTCGAGAAGGAAACGCAACGACGGAAGTGAGCGCGACCGCCGCCGCTCCGATGCACGTTATGATTACCGAAGCCGATATCTCGATGGTGTATGGAAAAAAATGCATGCTTCCGCGATCGGGGAAAAACAGACCTCTGATTAGGGCCAGCCTATAAAGTAGCCATTTTTCTAGTCAACTGTCCAGTTCCTCAAGTGCAATCCTCCTACGAGCTCTTCCTTCCGAGACCGGTCTAGTTCTTTAACAAAATTAAACGAACTGTCGATTAAATAATTTCATTTTATTGACAAGCTCAATTAAGTTATCTCGACATGTAACTTGGTGTGAGTGGAGGATAGTCATTCTGCTTTATTATAATTGTGAGTGAAGTGTGAAATCGAAAGCACAAGTGTTCTATTTTTAAGCAGTTATGAGTTAATTTAGTCATAAAAATTATGTCAAAATAAATCAATGAAATATAAGAGACAATGCAGATTTTCCATGGAAAATCATGACATCAACATTGCTTGTTAATTATTTATACCTAAAATTACAAATTTCTTGAGCAAGATAATAGCATTTGGAACATAATAATTTTCAAGATGCTTCTTGTATTGTCCCGGTTAAACTGCATTTTAATTTTGGTGATGTCCAACATCGCGATCTCGGCGCCTGTGAAATCCCGGAAGCGTTCGACGAACGAAAGTGAAAGAGGTTTTTCGACCTCCCCGAAAATCTTGGAGATCCAGTTACCGCTCAAGATTACATCGAAGGAAGACTTACTCGCCTGGTCCAAGTACGTAATGAATCTGGTGACTTCGAAAATCAACTTCACGGCGAACAATTTGAGTAATGCGCAATCGGATAAACGACAGCCTTTTATGGATAATTCCGACTTCAAGTCGAAAGAGATGATGAAGAAGGGCTCTCCCGACGAGAAGCGGCAAGGCTTGAATTATCCGGCGCGTAGACTCAAGGAGCCGCCTATGCAGAGAGGTGACGAAAAAGTGGTTGCTTATCCCTTGCCAATAGGAGAAATGAAAGCTACCGATCCAATGCAGGATCCCTTCGGCCTGTCAACATCGGGTATCAACGAGCCGACCGATTTCGGACAATACGCGAACTTTGGAGATCCAGCTGCCGCATTCGGAAGTCCCTTCCAGCAAAGCGAGATCGACATCTTCGGGAGCCCCGAGATTTTTTTACAGCCACCCGCCGCCACGTATCTCCCGTTGCCATTGACGGGGTTCAATATCGCTACGTACGAGAACTTTATTGATAAAAACGCTTCCGTCTTCGAGGAGCCGGCGAAGCTTCAGACTACGAAGAATGCCCTTAATTTTCACATCAAGCCTTTCGATAACGAGCTCGGCGGACAAGTGTTACCGATCAATATAAACGATGAATTAACTAATAGAAATTCAAGCTTCGACAGACCATTGTTGACTTTCCCATTCCAAGCGCTGGTGACAATCACTCGACAGCCTGCAGCAGCTACAATAGTAGATCCGAATAAGCGGCCGAAGGATCACTTTACGATTCGTAACAAAGAACCTTTTAACAGGTTTCCACCGTTCTTTGAAAAAAACTATACACTTACGAATGAATCCGGACAAGTCAACGTCATTCTCAATAATTTTACTACAGATGCGAGGAAAAATAAAATACAGAAAGGAAATGTGGAAAAGGAAGGAAAAGCGAGGAAGGAACAAAATGCGCGTGGGAATAAAAAGAAAAGCGAGAAAAAGACGAAGACTGCAACGAAGAAGCAACATTCGTCGATAAAGCGACAATCATCTGCACTCGGCGATTTGTTGAGAATGTTGGGTATCCTGAGAAAACTGCCGAAAAATTCCACCGAAGTCAGCGTCGCGACGCCTGTACTGTCTATCTTAAAAGGTACGAACTCGCAGAAAATACAGGTGGCCTTTGAGGACGAGGTAAGTAGATGACGAATATAATTTTATTATTTTTTTTATAAATAACATATGCTTTATTTTTTTTTAATTTTACAAGTATCGTCAATTTCATTTACTTAACTTTTAATTTCACAAATACACTTCAAATAATTTGCATTCAAGCTAACGAACGTCAGTTAAATTTGTAATACCGGAAAGAGATAAATACGTCATGACCAAAAGAGTAGCACATTTATGCAACGCTTATAAAAAATAAAGCTGATATTATCGCAATTTTATTTGCGAAATCACTATAAAGAATTGGATCAATAGTCATGCTTGACAAGTGGTTCTTAAACGTGAAAGTTAATCTGCTTCGTATTTGCATCCGCGTTTAGAAATTAAATCGCACTTTGATTGTGCACAGTTGTTTAGTACATCTTTCTCGCTCGTTAAATCTATCGGATTTTATTAATCTTCGAAAATTACACTTTACAGCATTAATTATACGTATTTAGCTTATCGTATTTTACGCATTGTTAAAAAAATAATATAGATAAGTGTAGATAAATTATATAGATAAAAATGGATAGAAATTTAGAATCGCCACAATTGCGGAAAAGTGAAATTCAGAATACGCAATCGACGAACACGATATTTCACGAATCGCGACATTCGAATTTATAAATATGTATGGAAGTGTCATGTCAACGTTACACAAGTGAGAATCAGAATTTTTTCTCTTGTACTTACTATAAGCAGAAATAATGATGAAATCCGTGAATTCATGTCGAGGGTAATAAAAATAATGAACTAATAAGAAATACAAAAAACCTGATTTTTCACTTTATATGCGCAGTAATTTTGTTGGCAATAAATTATTGTATTTATTTACATATTTTACACTTGCTAATTAATATGGCAAATTAAAAAGGTTTGAATTAAAATATCACTAACTCAATTATTTATTTCAGTTGCCTAATCGGGGAAGACGCAATCAAACGTTTCTAGCGCAGCAATTAAATGTACGCACAATTTGTATTTTTCCATTTGTTATAAAAGTATTGCGTAAAGTTATTTATTACGGTAATATTTATTGTGTGTGATGATATTGATTATGTGATAATGCTAAATGTAGGGTGATGACGATGACGATGGCGATGACGATGGCAATGCCGATGGCAATGCCGATGGCAATGCCGATGGCGATGCCGATGGCGATGTCGATAGCGATGACGATGGCAATGGCGATGACGATGAGCAGAGTGAAAAACAAGAAGATGATGATGACGAGGAAGAAGAAGAGGGTGGATCTATACAAGCCATACTCGATTTATTACCATTAGCTGCGCCAATTCTTGAAGAACTTAGTGATGTACGATAATGCATCAACAAACTTGCATACGTATACTGCTAAAATATTTTTTAATTTTCCATATGTTTGATCTCTCTCACACTTTACGTTATATCGCAATTTCAGAATTAAATTTAGCGTGTAAAAACATTAATATGCAATATGCAATATTTTATCTACAATTTATAATATATTTCAGCCGGAATCCGATGTCGATATAGCGGAGGTGCTTCAAGGCGCAATTCCTCTTCTCGAAGGACTTTCTGACGTAAGATTGAAAATTTCTACGCACGTCCCTCTCATTTATAATAAAATTTAATTATATAATGACAAAGTATCCATCTTTTTCTAGCCAGATGAGGAAGGAGGAGTCGATATTCCAGCAGTCCTACTGCCACTCTCTCAAAAACTCAGCGAAGTAAGCTTAGTGAACAATAATTTCCAACTAAATCAGCTAAAGACTAAAATATGAAATCACTTTGTTTCAGGGGCCAGAAGGACAAGGTAGTGATTCTGGCGCTATTTTAGGACCTATCATTCAATTGATAGCACCGTTGATCGGACCTCTTTCGGGCCCTCTGATCGGTCCGTTGAGTCGCACCAGCAGCGGTGTAAGAATTTTATTTCGTAAAATTAAGGAAATGCGAATATGTGAAAAAAATTGCATAAATTTTATGCAAAAATGAGAATAAATATAAACGGACAGCTTTTGATTTAATTTTTAGCCCGGAGGTAAAGAGGGATCGGCATCTTTAATTACGTCATTAACTGGTCCTCTTAGTACGGTAATTTATAATTTTAGAAATCCTCTCAAATTTATGACTTGTATTTTTTAATAGCGGTCTTATATCATCATTTATTTGTCGATTTTAGCCGCAAGATGCATACGGGCAGTCAGTATTGTCGGGCCTTATCGCCAGTATTACTTCTAAGCTGAGTAAAGTACGCATCACAAGATTATGATTTCCGCATATTTTTCGTATGCTTATTCGATGATTTTTCTTCTATTTTAATTTTTTTATATATTTTACTAAACAAGATAAACGCTTTTTGTGTCTATATCTCAGGAACTCTCCGCTCAAGCTGGTAATTCTGACGTTAAACCTCTAGTTAGCTCACTTGTGTCAGGTGTGCTTGCTGGTGCCAGTGCAGGTTCCAGCGGTCCTGCTAAAAGTCCTACTTATCAAGGCGGTCCTACTTATCAAGGCGGTCCTACTTATCAAAAACCCGATGCATACTATGCACCTACAACGTATGGTGGCTACGGTTATAAACCGGTGGGTAATTTTTTTCTTTCTATCCTTTTTTCCAATAAATCTTTATTCACTAAACTGACAATTAGAAATTTTATCTTACATTTATTCAGTAATTGTGTGTAAAAAAATAATTTTCTGCTGTACTATATTTGGGCAGAAATGCTTGAAAGAAATTCTCAATCGACTTTGTAGCCGCCTCCAAGTTTCAAGGACATGATAAGCGCGTCCTTAAAGGAGATCCTCGGCGCTATCTTGAAGCTATCGGCTGCGTCATCCTCCTCCAGTGCGGGTCTATCAGGCGCGTCGTCAACCTCCAGCGCTCAACTGTCAACTACTTCATCGGAATCGAAGGAGCCGCCCAAGCCCGAGTACGGTGCACCCATGTACAGTGCACCCACGTACCACCCAACAAATCCACCTTATTCACCACCTCTGAGACCTCCGTCGGATGATTCTCCCGCAGAATTTGTGCGAAGACACCTCCGATATCAAATAAGGAAATTTATTTAATGGACAATTTGTACAATTTGTACAATTTTGATACAATTTTGATACAATTTTGATACTGTGAAAATGCTTAGAATTAATTTTTAGCTTTATAGTGAAAATCTCTTTGAAAAGACTTTTTGCATAGATGGAATATGGAGCAAGAGCCGACGCGTGACTTCTTTTAGAAATCCTGATAATGATTTTGCAACAATGAACTCATTATAATTGAAAACATGTGGGTATATTGGTTTCTGTTTAATAACAGGATAATCTAATTGCGAAGAACACAGATGATGTCAGCGCAAATTATCATTTTAGCCTCATTTACAATATCATCTACGAATAATTAAGTGTGAGATATATAAAAAAATTGTCAATTACATTTTAACGACTAAGATTAATAGATATTAAATAATCATCACACAATAACACTAGTACATGTAAATAATAAAGTTTATTTAATATTATGAAAAAAATAATCTTATTAATTAAAATTATTTACTACTATTATTTTTTAATGGCATTAGTGAAAAGAGTCTTAAAAATGATTTGATTTTAACTGAAAAATATTTTCTAGAAAGTTATAATTATACAATAACTTTAACGAGAACAAACAGCACTTCTTTTATTAGCAGGAAGAATATTTGTTTTATTCAGAACATGCACAGGATACGTAAAGGCGCATAAAGTGTATTTAAAAACCGGTTGCTTGCGTGCGTGCGCCAGTTATACATTATCCGGATCTGGTGCTACGTATCGTGTCCGGGATATATGCGCAAGAGTTCATACGCGGAAGTAACGAACATTTCTGCAGATGTTCAACTCCTTTCGGCACACTTCGTTCTTATAACTTTTTCCTGTTTAAACGAAACAAAATCTCTTGGATAAAAAAAAACATAACAGCTGACGAAGAACAGACTTACGAGATAATATGTAATTAAGAAAATTACATAGACAAACTTTACAATAAGCTGATAAGCATTACGCATTTCACGGATATGCAGTGCGTTCTGGACATGCACGTTTGCATGTCTTTCCTTGTTTTTCTTTTACCATTACGGATAGTCAGAATAATAATTTAACAATCTCAGCAAACAATTCTCTCTAATAATGTGACGAAATGAGAATTACAAGTGTTGAAAATGTTGGTATTCGTTCACTGCGTAAAATCTGTTGAAGCCGGCAATTTGCATAGCTCGAAAATTTTTAATGAGACGCTCGGAGCGCAGCATTATTCCCTTTCTTTCTCTCTTTCTTTTCCGAGCTCTATCTCTATCGTTTCTGCGTATAACCGGCACCCAAATCGAAAGTACCTCGGCGTCGTTATAAATCGACCGATTTACGCAATTCGCATAAAGTAACAATCCGTGTTCCCGTTTCTCCGCGTTTCTCTGCCCTTTGTGAACACCTTGTTTTATCTTTTTTTTTTTTAATTTTACCTGTCGGATGAAGAAATACGACTTGACACCACACGTTAACAATTTATTTTAATGGCTCGTGAAATTAACTAATAGTGCGCAAGGCAAGCAAACAGACAGGACGCAGATCTATGCATAACGTTGCGTACACGTCAATATAATTGCCTGAAGCAACAAATTGGTACTTGACTCTTTCGTTTAGTCGAAGGTGAAAGTCTGCGACACTAAAATTTCCCGCTGCATCATCAGGTGCAAGGAATTCGGTCTATGTTCCTCGAATTGAACTCTCAAATAAAATCCCTAAGGATCTGACACACTTTCAATGTACATTTCGTAATAATCTATTTGCGTCAATCCGCGCTTGCTTCACGCGGTGATTTCAAAGTCTATTAATCGATGCATCTGACGTGCTCTGTGGTTTCACTTCGATGTCGGTCATATCTATATGATAAATCAAAAAGTCCCGAATACCTCTGACGGTAATAAAAATTAATTAGCCATACTTATATCCTGAATTTACGCATATTATTGACATCATTTTCCGAAATCCAAAAACGTGCTAAAATGCAATAAATTAAATCATATTAAATAGTTTTCTCTTACATTCTTTTATATTCTTTTGAAGTGAGTTTTACGGTCTGCTGATCGTCCTCTGCCGCGTATATCACCACCATAATACATATATGAGTAATACGAATTAATTGTTGCGTTGTCTTCACACACAAGAATGAGTAGAAGAATTATCTGCATTTTTCAATATTTATCTATTTTTCTTTTGTCTTTTTAAAAAATTTATTTTATTCGTATTTGTATCTCTTATTTTATAATTATTTTTGTTAATAACAAACAGTAATTTTCTCTCCAAATTGTGCGAAATAAGACAACTATAGAAAAAATACTATGAGTACATCGTGGTTGAAATTAGCGGCTCGGAATTTCCCAAGCATGTAGGCGCAATTAAGTGATTGCAATTAACGAGTAAGAAAAAGTTGCGGTTTCAACGACAAGTCACCTGATATTGCTTTTTATTTGATTAAAGACTTGTTTTTGTAAAAATGTCAAAGAATTGCGTCGTATCGATCCCCTCGATTACTCTTTCAGGTGAAAGCACGTTTCACTATTTGACCTATGAATCTTTCTAGACGGACATTATACGGAAGATGAACTTCTTCCGGCAAGCCAAGGCGCCATGGCATTGCGTGCAGATATCACTTCTTGTCTTACTCGTGTACGTATTATGATAGCATGCTCGGCACAGTATAGTCAGTAGACCATAAAACTCATACATACAGTTAACATTTGATGAAGCAATGGCTTTTAAAAAAATTATTGTAACAATTAAGCGTATAAATTATACCAAGGATTTGTCGGAATAGCAAAAAAACAAGAAAGTAAAAAAAAAAGAATATGTCAAATAGAAATTAATTTATAAAAAGGGGAAAAAAAAATTTTAAAAAGTGAATGAAATAAATCTTGAATATTCTATGATATTCTATTCAATCTTGAATATTTTATGATTTTACAAAAAATCATAAATGTCAAACGCGAATCCAGCAACGAACGATTAAGGACCGCAATATGACACATCGAAGGCCGCAGTAACTTTCTACCATCAAAGAAAGTGAAACTTTTCGTAGACTAGAGGTCAATGATTGACCCTCGCAGTTGTTGTTGCGACGGGCAGACACTTTCAGCACAATAGCATACAGACATGTCTATCATTTACATTATGCAATATTTAATCGTCGATTTTATTACATCGATCATCTCAATGAAATAATCAAACAAGCTTAAATAATGTTATAGAAATCAATACAGGTCTGTCTTGGAATATTTAAATTTTAATTATCACATTAATTAAAAATAATTTACAATTTATTTTATAATTTATAAAAATTTATTTTTTATTTGAATTTCTCTTCGTAATTGCAAATTGGACGTAAATGTTATTCGACAAAGTTGAATTATATTTCTTTCGAGCTTACATCACGCCGTCGTTTTACGCGTGTAAAATTAAAACGAGGCTACTTTCATCGTCGTTATCGAGGTCGTTGACATGCGATTAGTGCAACTTGATTAATGCCATTGGCTAAAAACCCGGCGCTGCGTAGACAGCGCTGAATAAATTCGCAATAACTAGAACACGCGTCGGCTATCGCCCTGGAGAAATGTCAAAGTTCAAATTATGAATTTAGCGCGCAATTAAGTATATCGACGATATTATATATTGTATTACATCATGAAAAAGTAAGAGATGCGTCTATTAGCATAACGCACTTTATCATTGTAAATATTTGTGTTGCAATCAATAATTCATTGGCACAGTATTTATGTTTGATTTTTTTTTTAATTACACAATTTATCGTCGTAATTTGTCGTAATTTGCATTGCAAAAACATTTATAACGCGCATTGTGCGGATGATCGTCTATCTAGAGTAGTAGATCACGCGGATCGTGTCCTCCATTCCACTGTCACATGAACTCGAAGATCGCCCGATCCGCCGAGTCTTGCCCAAGAACCTTCCGAGTGGATCACCGTGGTCTAGAATGTCAGACAGGTGCAAAAAATGTCAAGAAAAAAAAAAGATCGTCCACGCGTATATCCAGCAATCGGAAAATATTCTGTAGAATACGTAATTCTAGCAGCAATCTTACGCGCCAACGCGATCATCAGTAATTAATTCAGTGATCAATTCACACTTTCTGCGATCAAACATCTTCAACTTGTTTTATGCCGACGTTTTCCAATTGATTTATGCCTTCAACCGACGATTTCTACCGTGTTTACGTTCGAATCGTTCGCAAATAAAGTCGAAAGCGCCGACACGTGACATCTTCAGAGCAAAGTGTCCTGCGAGAAATCTTGTCACGTCGCTTCAAATCCGATTCATCGGTTTACGGACAGCCGCGCTTGCAAAACGCGAATTGGAACGGACGCGCTTGAATAGATGCATCTCATTGCACCCGGAGGACATTCCGGAACGCCGCCAGATGCAGATACGTCCGCGCGTATACTCTGCGCAATTACACGCAATTTCGCCATATGAGATTGACTTGGCAGTGTCAGTTGTCACGGCCGAAACGACACTCTTCGGTAATTATCAAGGGATTGTAGCGCGTCGCGACCCGCTTTGCATCATCGTCAGCCGCACAGTGACATTTGCATAGCGAGTAATCTATACGCCTTTACAAAAACAATGAATCTATAAAAGTGACATACATATATATTAAGTGGCATACTTTTTTCCGATATTTTACAAATTATTGTAATAAAAAGTTAAAAAAATATTGACATCACAATTATGGACCAAGCGTTCTACTTTGCAGCCACTCATTGCGAAATAAATTACGCGTTATTATATTAATTCTATATTCACCTATTATAAATATTACTATGTTAATGTCGGATTATTATATTCTTAACAAAAAGATCTTTGTTTTCATATCAGATAAAATATCATAAAAGTTATCGTTGCGGTAAATTGTATTGCTTGTTAGAGCTCATTTGTTCTATCCTAATAATTTCTTAAAAGAGGCGTATTGATTTTATGATAATGCACGGAAGTTGTGTTATGTGTGCGGAAGATTTATAAAATTTGGTTACGAAACGAGCGATAATATAACACACGAAGTAAATTACGCAAGAAGAGTAAGTTTCCACAATAAGGCGATGATCTACATTTGATCAAACCTATCATTATCCACGTTGCGCACTTCGATTATTATCTCTTTGCCGTTTACCGAGTTATAGTTTTTTTCGCACAGTCTAGAAAATAGTCGCTAGATTGAATCTCCGTTATGTTACTCTCACTTCGGTTAATGTGCACCGTTCAGATGCAATTATAAATTGAATTTCCGGATTAAGAAAAATTAATTTTTTTCCAGCGCATTTAATTATGTTATTTAACAAAAATAAATTTAATATTTACCTATATATATTGATATTAATTTATTAATAGTTAAAAAAAGATTAATAAAAAGATTAATGTTCTCTATTAAAGAGTAAAAGTTGAACTAAGGCTTTTTTTGTTAAGAAAGTAAAAGTTGAAAGAGGCACATAGAGAAATGCATCGCGAAATCGACATGATCTTTTATTTTTATTCTCGTGCGAGCTACGAGACATGCTACATCCATTGCAATAAATTTCTTGATTCATGCTCGATACGGCTGTCGGTAGCGATAGAGGAAGTTTCATAGGCATAGACGACCAGAGAAAGTAAAGGACGATATTTATTTGGGTTACACGGCCGAAGATTGAACAACGCGTCATCGCTCACGGACAAACACGCACACACGCACGGCACAACCGACACGTGCTACGCTGTTACGTAAAGCCTGATTGGAAAGAAACGGATTGTGTCGTGCTAAATCTAAAATGATCTAGTATCGCAATATTTATCATACACATGTTTAAAGCGCTTTGAAAATGATTTATTTGCGACAAGTATAGAAGTTCTGAAGAATATGACGAATGTTTGAATGATAATATATCCGTATAAAACATATGTTGCGTAAATGCGGAAATACGATTTCTTTCACACAATCAACTCGTTATGTCACCTCGCATTTTTACTTTACAAAATTAAGTAACGCGCGCCTTTTAAAAATTTTACATAACACTTTTGCTTTCTTCTCGCGCTTCGCCCGGAGGTAAGAATTTATACTTGGAATACTTTTACTCTCATTCGGTATTTCCCAAACCATAATGAGTAATATCCTGTCGCAACTTTCAAGAAACATACATCACGTCAGATGTACGCAAGTTCTCCGGAAATACCGCGGTCCCGGATAAATCGCCGTGTCTGATCTGAACGGTCAAGTTCCGGCTGACACATCTGCCGATCTTTCGGCCGTATCATCGACCTGTCGAGAGGCCTGTCTCGCGCGCGCCACGCGACGCACGGGACTGCAGTATGAATTTCTTTTGCCCACCTCGTCATCGTCGTTCGCGCCGCCATGGTGACGCGTTCTTTCCCGCAGCCAATTTCCCCGTTACAAACTTTCTTTCACTAACGGCGAACGCGTGGCCGCTCCTCGCCTCTATTCCGGCACATCGTCGCGGCGCGCATTAAAGTTTCGATCTATCGGTCGCGCCGCGAGCAACAGCGGCCGCCTTTCGCGCTTTATTTCGGCGGTTTTTCCCACGACAAGCGAAATTCGCCATCCCGTCCCTCTTCGCGTCGCCGATCGATGATCGAGAGGACGTTCGAAAACGGCAAAGGTCGCGGACGATCGCGAGTGATATCCTCAACAAGTGCGCGTCATCGGCGGCGAGTCGACGATTGCGACAGTTTGACGAGTGCACTTTGCGGTTTTCAAGGTTCGCGAGATCGAGCTGCTGCTTGCGAGAAGGAAGCGATTCTGCGGAACGAAGGTAGATGGAATTACAAGATGGATTAGAAAAGGATTAATAAGCAGTTATCGAAAGGGAAGTAATTTGGAGGTTAATTAGACAACTACAAGTGCCTCCGTATTACTATATTAAATTCTCTAAATGCATTTTAAAATTTTCACTTTTATAATTCTTACAATTTGCAAATGCTATTATTTACAGTTGTCATTCGAATTTCATTTTGCAAAGTTTATTTAGCTCAAATATTTAATTTGTATTCTTTAACTACAGACTTTTTTCAGTCGATTACGTAACGCATATAAACTACCGTTATTGATTAAGATGAGTGAAAATTAGAAATCTAGTCGTAAATGTAAATTACAACATTTAAGAGAAAAATGAAGCGTTGCGTGTTAATAAAATTAACTTTAGCTGCATTTTGTGTACACGCGCAAGTGCGTATTTGCTATATGCAACATTGCATCGATTTGTTGATAATCAAGGGGCATCTTAGCAAATGTGTCAGAGAGATTATCGGGTAAGTCAATATTCATTTAATTCTCGTTTTCTTAAGTGATGCGTAGATATTCTAAGTAACTCAATTAATTCTTAAAACGTTTACGCATTTTTGCTATGCGTTCTTCTGCCGATGGAATGCATTATCACAAGGTTGAACGCGTCAATAAGTACGTGCAGCATAAATAAATAGTTACAACATAGCGTTGCTTCGGAAATATGTATAATTGTTACTGAGTGCGCGCATTTGCGTATTGTCAGTTTTTCTTTCCATTTATAGGTGATATCATTGTGAATGATTGTTGCATTATTTACCACGTATTTAATCTCCTTTCGACATTACATCCTGTATCTTATCCGGTTTCTTAAAAAAATAAATTGCGCGTGTAAGAAAATTGCTATTATTTTTATGTACTTCTTGGCAATTATATTTTTATTTCCACTTTTTTTGTAGAATTCTTTTTTGTAGAAATATAATGTTACGCATACGTGACGCATAATGTGCGCAAATGTAAAAATTGCACGTGTATGTAAGATTTTGGAGATCGATGGGGATTACATAAGAACATCCTTACTTTCGTTCGTTGCACTTTCGGAGTGATATCGATTTGCATAATTTCGATCCTCTTTTGGGCCATGAGTCACGATCGCTTTACGTAAGCCGGTTTCGTGAGATTTTGATCCTCTTTTACTTTCTTCCTGCAGGAAGATTACCGAAGTGCGTTACTCTCTCTTTCATTGGAAAGTCACCCGGTGTTCCTTCGCGGTTGAAATGCCGCGTGCATCTGTACGCATGATCGTTACGCGGCGCCACTTCACGAGTGATCAACTAGTCTGACCACAGTATAGTTTTACTACTTAGCGCGTAAAAAGCTCGTATCTGGAACAGTTAATTTTAATTAAGCATTTGGATATCCTTGAGCATTCGAGTATTTATATTTTAATTATTTTAATTTTTTTTTTAGTTATTATGATTTTTATTCGTGTAATTATCAGATAAATAATAATTTTATGTAATATTAAAATTTGTCAAAAAAGATAAACTGACGTAAAGTAATTTTATATATAACATAAATATTTTTTACATATCTACATACATTTTGAAATTAAATTGTTATTATGACATTTCGATTAACAATGAAGTCGTAACCTAGTTTAGAAGACCTGATTTCTTTGCTATGTGACGCATATAAACGATGATTTTAAAAGACGAGAAGTAGAATCTGTTGAGCAATTGTCCTAAAAAAAATTGCGACTGTCAATACAGAATTTGTGCGTAGAATAGGTTATAGTCATTTCATACACATTATGGCACAATAAACATTGTGCAAAGTGCATTCGAATACATATGCTCCTAAATTCTTCGTGGGGAAAGTTTTTGATAATTGATTTCTCTAATAAGTTTGTACATAGAATTTCAACATTTTAAATTTTTTATGTTTTTGATTACTTGAGTATCCAAACAGAATTCCGTATAAAATTTTTTTCTCCATTATTGTATTTATCGAGTTAACAATAATTTTATGTAATGTCAAAATTTATCTAAAAAATTTTTTTAATGTTATTCAATCACTATATCGTGTTCACAAAATAACAAGAATATTACGCATTTTTTAGACATTGCAAAGGATACAATTTGAATTGATAATCTTCTAAATCGTAAAAAAAAAATGTTTTTAGGACGTCCCAAAAATATCTCTTAGGACATTTTTAGGTCGTTTATTTTGTACTTTATTTCCTAATTTAAAAAAAATACTTGAAGTTGCTCTAAGTTGTTTAGTTTAATTTTAATGTTCTAAAAAAAATATTACACGGTATATATATATAAATACAGTTTCTATATTATTCATTATTTAATTTTAATATTTTATATGGTCATAATAGTCAAAATTGTGAATAAGCCTTCTGTGTGTGTAAGCAATTAAGAAGAGAAAATATCTACAAGAAACTTGAAATGTCTAATGGTTAATTTAAATTAACAACTATCAACTCTTGCATTATTGCAGACATACTTTGAAGTGCTCGAAATTATATCTTCAAGATTATGGTCAAGGTGAAAGGAGAGTTTATTTTGATTGAGCTTTTAAGATCAAATGCGGTGAGCGCGATAATTGCAAATGGAATGTATGTAGATTCTGTGTCAAACGATAATTAACATCGTAAAAATAGAATTAATATAACATTAAAGTCATTAAGGCCAGCGCATTGGCACAAGTTCCTCAAGTACTCATCTTAGTTTGCTAACTTTAACTGACAGATTAATAAATGTTATATAATAATGTAAATATTCTAAGTGAATCTCTCTCGGATGAATCTTTCATGAAGCTCGTAATTCTATTATGCTGATTCTACATTATATATTTCTGCAATATGTAAAATATGAAATTGAATGGTCCAATTTGGAGAAACTATCCTTTACGTAAGCAACGTGCGATAATCTTGTATGAGATAATCCCAAAATGAGAAAGCGAAGAGTTTGAACGCAAGTTGTGTGAGCTTCAAAATCACGCAACGACATAGCTCTAAACAGCTGCTAACATGCATATTACGCATGCAAACTTTTGTCAAATTGATGTAACATGTTTTTGTCAATTGAATGTAAGAGTTATGTTAGCAAGAAATTAGCTTTAGATAGTTTCATGAAATTATAAATTTTTTTACTATTACTATTTATCTCTATTTATTGTCGAATTTCAGAGATTGCGTTGAACATTATTGATTATAATAGCACGTGTGTACCTGTGCTGTTTGCAAAATGATAAAAGAAGTTAGATATTCTGAACAATACTAAAAGTGGGCTACGCAGTTCCCACATTTACTAACACTTACATATCTTCCTTTGTTATCTCGGAAATCGATGACATCATAAATAGACTTTGTTGTTGCTTGAAGTGCATGACCGCAAAAATCGACTATTAAGCAATAGTAACAATAGAAGGCTGGCAATTAGTTACTTTTCAGAATTTAATAACGGTCTTTATGGTGAGAAAAACCAATTGTGAGTATAATGTTTTTCTTTAATCATTATATACGCAAAAACTTATATAAGTAAATTACTCATGCAAGTGTTTTCAATCGCGTCAGAAAATTCTAACTCTAAAAACAGCTTTTCGGAAAATATCTGCTTGAATAGTTTAGCTTATAATAGATAATTAGCTTATAATAGATAGATAGTTAAGCTATACAATTTTGTTTATATGATTCAAGTGGTGATTGCAAAAACATATTTCAAAATCGAATATTTTTCCTAGAATGCTGCTGTTTAGCAGCAATGATAATTATATTGCTCGTAAATGTATACTTTAATAACTCGAAGTCGAGTTTATAATTATTTATTTTAATTCATGTACTATGGTGTTAACAAAGCAAAGATAAAGAATTTGAAGGGGAAGTGTGCCTCATTGGTGAGCGTTTTGGATGATGCCGGCCGGTCGAGCGGGTTTCGCGAATGGAGCGAATTGGTGAGCGCCCCACCTGCGGGAGGCGAGGCTCACGGTGTATGATTCTCGATTCTCGAAGGGGCACACATGCTCGCCTTCATTCCCCTTCGGCTCCGTAAGACATCGGAACCTCCTTCACCGTGGTCCTCAAACGAGCCTCGCACTCCGCCAGGTACACAACTGCTCACGCATTCGCTCGCTCATTCGCACGCACGCACTCGCCGCGCCGGCATCCGTAAGTCCACGCAATTTTCCTTACGCGTTTACTTTGCCTGCCACGTGACGTTCATGCGATAATACTGATTTTATTTTTATTTTTGTATGCATTGAAAAAATGGTTCCTTTGATGTGAAAGAATTTTTATGCGCCACGAAACAAAATAAGTGGGAATTAATTGTTCTTTCTATATTTATGTTTCCATTTCTTTTAATATTTTTATTTTTTCTCTATACTTTTCTCTTATATATTATATATTACATTATTATTCAATTATTCTATGAATTAATTATTTGTTTATTTTTATTAATAGTTTTTAGTATAATATTTTACCAATTATTTTATATTTTTAATGTATTAATTAAAACAGTTGTTGATTATATTTACAATTTGACAGCTACTGTACATCTCAATTTTATTTCAAATTATTTTTTATTTTATTACCTCTCATATTGTAAAAGCTAAATTACACTATAGACAATGTTTTTTTTATATTGCTAGAACTGAGTTTAAAGAAAAATTTATCGAAAGTAAAAAAATTTAATTGACGTACAATACAATCTGTCCGCATTTAATTTTCTCGATTTTATCAAATATATAAAGTTATACTAATTAACTAATTAACTAAAAAAACTAATTAGCTAATTAACTTATTATTATTAATTGTTTATGAAGTCAAATAAATATAAGTAAAAATAAATTTTTATATGCATTGAACAATTAAAAGGATGCTTATGCAAACATCCTTTCACTCGACATTTAAGATCAACTTTCGACTGTTTTACTATCGAGAGTTTTGCCGTTTCATCAGAGCATCTTTTTTTATTTATGCAGATTGAACTGAAATACAAATCGACCAAGTGAAAAAGACATAATGCGGGTGTTCTGTGCACTCTGCGGACTATTCTTGGCTATTGCCATTGTCAATTGCAGAACCATTGTCAAGAGAGAAACGGAGGAGGACCTCAGTCCGTTGAACGAAGTAAGTTTTCTATTTTATTCTCTTTTAAAGCGTCAAAAAGTATAATAATCGAATTCACTAAATAAATTGAGCTCTTTTGAAATATAATAAGAATTTGGCAAATAGCGCATTGAGCAACATTGTGTCCTTCCTTTCCCTCTCCGAAGTGCACTGGTGTGTAGAGGAATAATTACGACATACCTTCACTCGACCTAGAATAGTTTGAAACGCATTATCGAAGAATAAAGAGATAAAGCTTAACAGTAGCGAGAGTGAAAGTAAAGATCGCAATAATTGCTAACCTGATAATTCCGCGTAACTCTGTTTAAGAATGCAGTCGAAAGAATGAGCACCTTGGTTAACATTAAAACTCATATCTTACATAAATATTTATCTTGTAGATTAATTCAGGGGAAAGTCTTATGTATATTTTCCATTTTATGTCATGTCTTCCGTTTCTTTCTTGTTAATGAGACGGCGATCAATTTTGTGAAAAATATTCGAATTTTGCGTGTTGATAAATTCTTGATAGCGAACCACTTTATCTGAAAAGAGATACGTCCGTCGTCGTAAAGTGACGAGTTATGTCGGACGGAAGACGTATCTTATTTCGAACGCATCGCGTCAGCTAAAAGTGCTGTAAACGACTCGGTAAAATGTGAAGAAAAGAGGAAAGAAGGAGACAGAGGGAAAGAGGTATACGAAAAAGAAAGAGAGACACGATCTCGGAGAACGAGTCATGAGTGAAAGTGAGTTGATGCTGTCTTTGCGAACTCAAACACGTAGCGACGGATGCACGTGTAACGAAATTTCTGCGATACGCACGTGTCAACGACAATGAGCGGCGAAATATCATTAGCATAATTGGAATCTGATCCCAATAAATACTCGCTTGTTTCGAATGAAAGTAGCGTTGCGTAATAATTTTTATTACGGGCAATATGATAACATTGGAAAATTATGTAAATGCAAAGCGTAATTATGATAATTTTCTATTTTCTATTAAATAGTATAGCGAAAGCTTAATAGAAGATCAATATTTATGAAAAAAGTAATTTAAAAATATATTTGATTAATATGTGTGTGGAAAAAAACCATTTTCTTGCAAATGTTGCCATGAATTTAACCTTTGATCTTTTTTTTTCGCTGACTGCAAAACTTCATTTTTAATCATCATTTTATATGTGATTTCTCTGGCATTTTACAATCTTGAAAAAGCTTATTTATGACTTGTGTAGGTTTACGTCGTTGAAGCCGATAAAGATGAAGCGGTTGATGGCGAAAGAGGTGACAGGGACAAGAGAAAGATTGGTCTCACGGTTGGAATAAAAAATGGCATCCTCAACTTTGTATTTGGTGTAAGAATGAGAAGTATTTTTAGTAAAATCTCTGCTGTTTTTATTACATATAAAATGTGCCAATACTTCGTAAGAAATACATTTAAAATTGCATTAAAAAAAAATAACATCTATCTTCTAAGAATAATTTTTTTTACTATTATATGTGCATGCAAAATATTAGATATAGCATTAATTTACAATTACTATTAATTTTTATTTAATGCTTTTATATTTCTTTAGAAAATAGATGGATTCTTGGATGCAAAAACAAAAGCGCTCATAGTTCTCGATGAATCCAACAAAGCGAAAAATGCTGCTTTCGGAATCGATCCCCATAACTCAGCTACGTCGCAGTTTATTAGTAACTTAATATCTCAAAAGATTCAGAGCGCGACAGGAAGTATCGGGCCGTTGATAAACAGCGCGACGACGCTTTTCTCAGGCGCCTCAGCTGGCTTGACGAACGCGCTGGCCTCGAAAGTCGCTCCACTGAGTTCTCTTTCCGGTGGTCTTTCTGGTGGTGGTAGTCTTTCTGGTGGTGCCGGCGCTGGTGCAGGTGCGTAAAATTTGACGAAAAATTTTTTAATTTATATCTACAAAATATCTGCAAGCAAAAATTTCTTGTAGCACAAAAATTATGAATTATAAAAAACTCAAAGATAAGATTTTTGCTGACAAAAATAATTTATGAAGTATTTTACATTCAGTGTTTTGTTTGTGAATATTTATTTTTTTAACTAAACCAACATTTCTTGAAAACGACATTATATTTATTTATTTATATTGGATTTAATTGTTTCACTTATAAAATGTAACAGGTGCCGCAGGTGGCAGCAATTCGGCTTTCATTGGCAATTTGTTGACCCAGACGCTCGGTTCCTTGTCATCTCTGAGCCAAAATAGCGGCGGATTAGGTTCATTAAGCAGTTTAAGCGGCGGTTTAAGCGGTGGTAGTGGTGGTAGCGACAGTGCCACCGAAAATGGTATCGGTGCAAGCGCCGGTGCTGGCGCTAATATCGGAGCTTTCGCCAACTTGGCAGGGGTAGGATACCAATGAGTTCTTTTTATATCTATAAATTGTGATTTCTTTTTATATTTTAAAGTTCTATGTCAAATGTCCCGTCTTCTGTATTCTGTGCTGACATTTAATGCAAGTCTCTGCTGGAGTATTGAACTATTTTATGTTCTCGTAAGAAAATAATTTACTACTTTTAAAAAATGAATGTGATGGACTTTAAACGATGTTGATAAACAACTGTTGTTTAACAAACTCGGGCGATGGTAACAATTTACGACTTATGGGGCTACTGCTATTTGCAGTGATAATGATTAACTTCCACACCATAAATGCAGGATAAATACATGTTAAACGCATGTTCTTTGAATTGTTATTTTAACATTTTAATATATATAAGAATATTATTTGTGCATGATTTTTGTATACAAATTTATTTTTTAATTATCAGTTTGCATAAGTATAATTATTGCTTACGTTTCTAACACTCTTATTCATCAATTTTCCATTTCAAAATAATGATATATTTAAGCTACTAATACTAATAGAATTTTTATTAGATATATAACTCTTATACGTTTTGCCAATATACCTATTTGGATGCCTTCCTCTATCCTCCGCGTTGAAACGCTGCCATTATCTATAAACAACGTAACTAAAGTAAAACATCTGGTTTATCGGTCAAATTGCTTTATTAGACTCTCGACTAAATCGACTAATTAACGTAGACTTTTTATTAAAATCACTCTTTTAATTTTGGAACATCTCTACGGGACGAGATTTTCTGATTCAATAATTATAAATTATATCTGCTATTAAAATAAGTATTGTACGTAAACAGTACGATTACACGCCACCGCAAGCATCATTTTAAGCGGCTTAATGGCAAGTGGGATTAAACGGGCCGATGGGTTGCGAAAAAAGGACTGCAGACTTATGGATCGGCGAACAGCAACGCTTGAGAGAAGAAATCCATTAGGAAATAAAGGACGAATAACAAACGGACGTTAAACAAAATCACGGAGAATGAGACGGACAATAAACGAATTTTTGGAATCTGGACGTTCCATGTAATGTGGAATGTGGATTTTTGATTTTAGTTGGGCAGATAATTGGCAGGACCTCCTCTCTCCCGCTCTAGAAGCCCTATCCTCGTGTAAAAAGTCTATGTTTAAAGAGGCACAAACGAAAAAGAAAAAGAAACGGAAATAAAAGAAAATCTCGGGAAATACTCTTCTGACGCATCGACGCTTCCGATTGAATCGTGGACTACGCTGTGCCCAACATAAATTACGGAAGAAGTAGCATGAATCGATTTGTGAAAGCTGTAAATAACTATAATAGTAGTCTTTAGGCGAGACGGACTACTCGCATAAACTACTGCTGTGTGTAAATGATGTAAATAGCGCATCTGAATGCTCTATGACACGCAAAAATAATGACCGATGTTGAAAATAATTGATGATAATTCCAATGTTAAATAAACCTTCAATTATATTTTTGTCTACTACTTATGGCGAACTCATTGTAGAGCATCACGAAGCCCGATTCATCCTCTCCCATATTCCTGTTATGTTTAGAACTTACTTACACAAATTCGATCATTTTATTTTGAAGTATGAAAATTTTCATTTTGCTATGCTCTAGATAATATACGAAGTGCGTTGTAATCATCATGCGATGTCGTAAAAGTAGTAATTTGTGTCGAAAAGACTTGTTCCTTTTCCTTCGTATTACATTATTGACTAATCAGGACAATTATAATGGATACTCATACACATGTTTGCACATGTTCTATGCAAGTTTCTCACGTGATACTTCTTTTTAGTTTCAATGACGAAATGCACAATCAAGCAATGACGTAAGAGAGTCAATCTGATTTGTCGTGTATATTTGTGTGCAGAGAACGACTAGAACCACTACAGAAGATACACCTATATTCGATAGAACTAGGGTTTCCTTGGAAATACCATCAAGAGCATTTGGCGCTAGCTTCACCTTACTAACTAATGTTACCAAGATTCTCAACAGTGTAATTTTGGTAAGTGCAATAATTCTTATTTTAAAGAGAACGCATGCCACGACGTTAATAGCTATTTTCCGCCGACGAGCGCGTCTAATTGTACGTTCTGCACCGGTAATTTTCTAGCTTAATCGTACGCGACCGATTAACGCCTGCGAATCACCCTTCACTTACAATTAGCTTGCAAACTAAATCTACAACAAAGAAACGAGTATGATTTATTCGCTTCCTATAGAAGGAGTTATTAGTTTTCACATACATAAATTTTTATTAATTTTTTACCTCACGATTATTCGCTTCTTTTCTACTTTCCAGAACTCAGCCCGTCGCACGCAAACACTCGCAGAAATTTTCAAGCCATTCTTCCGCGGTGCTTTCGCCATAAAGGGACTTCCATCGGATAATTCGATCAACTGAAGTATCTCATCTTTTTAGTTGGAATTATTATTAATTAATTGCTCAAGAATTATTTTACTTTGTTAAGAAACACTCCACAAGTTCCGATCGCGTATTTCTGAATAGATAATTTTGTTGATCAGAATTTGTGGATTCCGGTCCAAAGTTCTTGGTTGTAAACAATTTTAGATCCGATTGGGATAAAATACGATTAAGATATTGTTTTATCCTCTGCGACCACTTTTTCACTGTTATTGTCATACAATTGTTATTTATGATGTTAAATTTTTTACTTACTTTTTTGTGATTCAAAAACTGACGTCATAAATGACAGATACGCTTAACGACTAAATGCATATTACTTGTACAGAGAATTTATATTTATATATATATATATATTGTATATATATATATGTGTGTATTCATATTAAATATAAGTAAGAAGATAATTCTAAAAAAAATATTTAATTATATTTTAATTAACTATAGTACATAATAATATAATTCATAATACGAGAAAATAAGAAAATAGAATAGAGCGACAATCAAATTAATTTGTTATTCCATAAAACTAGTTTTATTTCCCATCTTAATTGTAACTGTGAAGAATCCTTAGAGAATTTCCTGATATAACAGATACTTATAATTTATTACTTTGCATAAAAAATATTATTAAGTTGAGACATAAGCTGATAAATGGGCTGTTTATTCCACTTGATGTAACTTAAGATACTTTATAGTAAATTCACGTCTTCTTATTTATCAAAACTGGTTTATTACACAATAAGCATATTGCATAAATGTTAGTATGTATTCGATTGCTTTATTTATTGCTCGATGACTTATTATCTTAATAATTAATGCAAGTGTTATACAAGATCAAGCGGTCAGGGTGTCTTGTCTAGCCACGCCGAGAACTCGACCATGTAACATTTTACCATTCTTGTAACTGGGACATCTCGAGCGAATGCAGAATCTTGCAAAAATTACGCTCTTCATCTGTTAAGCAATAAAGATAATTTTTTCAATTTATTTTCATCAAAGTAAAAAATTTATTTTCTTAAAATAAAAAGATTCGCACGATTCCAATATTTACACTTTCTATCACACTGTACTGGAAAATTAGTTACCGAATACGCACTAAGTAGTAGCCTATGCTAGAAGAAAGCGCGTGTTTATATGTCTTCATTTTAAGACTTTTACATTTGCTTATCAAGGTAACGCAAGAAACGACTGAGAAAAGTCGCTACTTTGCATAACTCTCTTAGGTCGGTGATCTCTTGCACAAACCTTTTCCTTTTGATGGACAAACCAATGGGAGACGCGGTAGCGCAAATATAAACCGCGACGTGCAAAGTTCAAGGAAAAATTGCAACATGTTATAACGCGCGTCGGGAAGAATCTAGGTAAAAAAATAGATATTCTAACAAACAAGCAACTACAGCGCGATGCATTTGTATAATATATGTGAGATAAACGCTATTGGATTAGATACCATAAAAAGTATGACCAACGTAACTTGCGAAACGCACATGTGGCAAGGAACTGTGTGCATTATATATATTTTATTCGAAGTTTAATTATTATTATTATCCGTAATTAGTTTTATATAACATTTCGAAACAATTATATAAAATATTAAATTTGCATTTATCTGTACGTGAGAATATTATAGTATTTGCACTCAAAAAGTGCAAATTATTTCAAGTGATACAGCGTATCGTGTTTTGTATCGAAAATTTCCTACGTAACTTCGTTTGTCGAAGTCTCATAGAAATTTTGTTAATTTGTTCCGCTCACACTATGAAGACTACGTAAGATCTGTCGTAAAACTACCGATGACCTTCGGGACCGACTTGAGGTATCGAAAGGTAGGCTGAACTCATCTTACTAGTGCCGGCTCCGTCGTCCAGCAAGATGCACTTGTTTTTACATCTTCATTCGTCGCGCTCATCGGCATAGATACGCGCGAACGTGTAACAGATCTCAAATATATCTCAGTGTAAAATAACAGCGTGGAAAAATTTAACAACATATTACCAAAGATAAATTTTATTTGATGCAAAGGTAAGATAGTTTATCTATTTAATTAAACTCTAATCTATTTGAAGTATATTTGATATCTTATATTTTGTACTGAAATAGCTAACATTGCTAATTAGCTAACATTGTTAATTGCTTATTAGGCAATAAACATTGAATTATAGCTACCTAAATTAAATATCAATATACATAATTTTTTTTATAATGTTAATTACATTTTTTCAAGAAATTATTTTAAATTTAATTTTTTATACTAAAAATTACGTTAGCCGGAGTTAATGATTGAACTCACGGCTAGCTACAAATATCTTTTTCTTCTCTTATTTTACACCTGTTTTTTCAAATGAAAATATTGCTTTATACTCATAAATAAGACCAATCAAACTAATTATTATATGAATATCACGCAATAAGTAAGTATGTTTGCATGCCGTACATGTTATACGTTTTAGTTTTTTTATATTTTATATTTTTATAAAATTTAGATATAAGCAACATAAATGATCAGTTATCGATTGACATAGAAAAATTTATGTCTCTGCAAAATTTGCTCGAAGTGAGTTTATATATATTTAAGAACATATAAAATCTAATCAGTTCGTAACAAAAGTTGGATGAGTGAACAAAATTTCACATAGTAGTGGCATCGTCAAATAATTTGCTCATGGTAGTATCATTCGCAACAATTGCTCAGCATCACGTCACATGTGCAGAAAAGAGGGTAATCATTATAATAACATAACATAATAACAACAATTGTGTAACGTTTTATGCGGTTTGTAAACACAAAAAGTAAATTGCAGATTTCTCTGCGATAAACGCAAGTAAGATATAAATAGATCAAATATATACATAAGAAAATAAGTTTTTTTGAACGTACATTAAAAACGTACGTATAAAAACAGTAAATTTTCATTAGAGATTATTGTCCGCCGAAAATAATGCGTTAAATACGAAGTTAATTTCTTGTAATCGTAGTGAAAGAATGTCAATTGTACTTTCCTGCAATAACATTGTTCGATGCAAATTTAATTACAACATTCCACTTGCAAATTTCTAGATGTAATCGCGTCTAGTATTTTACATTACGTAAAACATTTTTTTATTGTTCCTCTGTTTTTTACTAAATAATCATCATAATACAGTTTTAAGTAAGCCGATGAGTCAAGCATATTCGGTCAAGGCCGAGCTCTTTTTGAAAAGGTCTTTAACACGTAGACGCAGCTACGCATGGATTACGGTAATTTATCAAGATATGAAACAGAATCTTAGATCTTGCAATCGTGATAATAATTAGTTGCGGTAATTTATCACATGGTCATTGTTCTCCGCTACGTTTAGCGGTTTATAATTTTATCTTAAGATCCATCATATATATTTTTTAAGATTCAAGGATATCATAAGAATTAAAAGAATTTTAGAAAAAATTTTTTTACGTTGCAAATAATTTTGTAATCAGAAATATAAAGAAATGAAAATAAGCAGTTGCTTAAATCCAAGTTTCGTCCTGTTTTATTTTATAATTCGCTCAAAATTGCACTAAATAAGGTCAGTAGTAATGACATACCCGGACACGCGAGAATAGTAGATAAGTATTGACAGACACACACGCTGAGGAGCAGGTAAGCAGTGATGCGCACGGACACACCTATTACGTAAGATAAGTGTGTAAAAAAAAGATGTTACATAGTGATGTAAAACCTCACCCATATTTTTTCAAGCCAAATTCGTGTCAAATCGTAACGGAACTTGAGATCTAGCGCGACACACGCACGGCAAACTATTATTATTGCATTGCACATTAAATCATTGAATGATAAATATAACTGACAGTTGACATTTGTTGCGACTTTTGTAATACTTTCCTTTTACGTTGCGCAAAGAAAAAAATTCACGTAAGAATTTACTACTCCTAGTTCATTACCATTACATTTTTAGCGCGTAAGAATTTTAATTTTCGTAACGGAGAAACTTTTCGCCAATTAATGCACGCGAAGCCTTTCAACAAACGCTTGCGGATAGACACGTCTTGTTTACGCATGCCTTTCACACCGTTAAATACGGTCCGCAGCGGATAATTAGAGTGCGTCATGCATCAACGAAACTGGCCTAAATATGATACTAAAATTGATGCAAAAATGCAATAGCGCGGCACACGCAATTCTTCAATGACATTCTATTTCTAAATCAACTAAGAATTCCGAACAAACTTTACCAGTTTGATAAATATATTTTGTTTATTTCTCAATTATTGAAACAATTAATATTAAACATCAAAACATATACAAAGAGGTAATTAATTTATTACTTTTTGATAAATAATATATAAAGTGACTTTTTGCAAAAGTGAAAATTGCGGCGTATTATCATTATATTTATTATACAATTGTACGATTATAATCAAACACATACAGGTGCGTACAACAGAGTCTTCGATTACGTGTATGATTACGAAGAGTGAAAGTGAAAGATGGAAGTTGTTATGTACTGCAGTCCACGTGGACGTGGACCCTCGGCAGGTTTTCGAAGACAAGGACGCTTAAGTACCGCGTCTGCCGATCACCGGACAGGACGGCAATGCAATTTATCGCGACTGAGTGAACTAATATCAGTGCAATTGTGGTCAAAAAAATCGTAGCGCATTCATTAATCTTACATTCGACATACATGTGACAAGTAAAAAATATAGATGTTAATAAAAACAAGAAAATTTTCATATTAGTGTCACACAGTGGTGTTTCACAATTTGCGATTCTAATTTTTATTAAAGAGTTTTTTATAAATCTAAAGTCACGTTTTCTGTGCAAGTAATAAAAATATTAATGATTCAATGATTTACAAGTTGTACGCAATTAAAAAAGAAAAGTTATTTACGAAACTAAACTTAAGAAAGATAAATGAATAACAAGATCGCATTCCTCAATTAATAGTTTTTATCTTTATGGAATTATAATTTTTTTGTAATAAGAATATATAATACTAAAAATTAAAAAGTTGCGTTAAATAATGACATTTCTTAACATTTTTCTGAGAAAGAAATCAAATTGGTCAGATAATGTCATTAAAATTGATACGTACTATATGTTTATAATTATTTAAAAATTTTTGGCACTCGTCTCGAATAATAAAAATTATGTCTTTTAAGTCTTTACATTTTTGTACATAAACGATATTACATAATAAAAGTAAAGTGAAATTTGCTGTATCTAAAAATAGTACGGAATTCGTTAATGTTCGATTGTGTCCAATAAAGTCCAGGCATCTCACTTAAATCGCTTCACGTATGTACGCTCGCATTTTCGCAATCGATAGAAATCTTAATGCGATATACTTCGCGGAAGTAGAAAGTCTCGTTTGCCGTATTACGAGTTTTGGTATGGCTGTTCAGGATACTGCAGTGCAATCGTGACAATACGTAATCAGTTACTACGGATTTGCAATTAACATTATTCAATAATTTTCCTGTTTTTCTTTTACTGTTATTAAAAGACATACGTAATAAGAAAATTCAAGTTTTTAACGTTTAATTAAGTAAGTAGAAGAAATAAAATACTAATAAATAAATAAATAAATAAAATACATTTTTTATATATAGATTGCAGTACTCAAAATCTAAAATATTAACTATCCATCATACTTTATGAATGCTTTATACGCTTTTTCCAAAATATCACTCTTATACAAAGCGTGCTAAAAGGTCCAAATTTTCGACAGCGTTTCGACATTGGCATTCATCGAACATTGTTTCGCACATTAATCGTTAACTCGATGCACGTGTTACATGTTCACGTCACGTACAGCAAGGAGGCCGAAATGGATCGTCGAAATCTTCGAACGATTCTCGAGGAAGCAAATCGCCGGTGTTGGCCGGTAGTCATGCTCGACCAGCGGCGATGGCCACCGGCGAGTATATTGCGACTGCCGTATTGAGTTGAAGGGAAGCAATTTTCCGAACGATCGTGCGTGAACGAGCAATAGAAACGACCGTTTTGTTACGGCAAACCGTGAGTGACGCACAGACTTCCCAGCGAGAAAGGCTTCCGAGTTGTGACATTCCCGTACATAAGTTTGTGAATAAATATTGTTTTCAACAAATTTAAAAAAGATTTGAATCATGTATGTTGAAAAAAGTTTGTGGATGTTAAGTGATAAATAATTTTCAAAGCAATGTACACGTACTGGAGAAGAAAGAACATCTTATCACGTGTGTGTGGACTTAAATATCTTTACTGCCATTGTAAGTTAATAGATATCGATAGTTTTAGTTAAAAAAAAATTAGGATAATTTAATAAACTGCAAAAAAATCAGATTCCAATTTTCCATAATCCCGATTTAAATATTATGAAATAAATATTTCTTTTACATTAAATTATATTAAATAATAAATTGTAATTAAATAATAATAATCCTTTAAATGAAAGTATTTTTCAAAATTGTTGCAAATTATATCAATTATTATTAGTTCCTCAAAGTAATAAATCAATAACTATACAAGTGTTTTGTCTCTCGAACTTTAGCCAACAATCTTCTTATTGTGGTTTTATTACTTTGACAAACTTTCCTCATTTCACTAAATGAAGATTATCGACTTATGTAATGACTGCTGATTCTTAGCTCGTGCATCACAGTCATCATTCGACTCTCACTGCGTGATGATACTTCGGTCTCGCGAAATGCAGTTTTAGAACGGCACGATCTTCTCTTCTGTGTATGTGTGTTACGACATTCTATACATGTGATATGTTACTTTTCATTACATTTTACACATCAAGAAGTAAAAGATGGTTCTATCTACAACTCATAATATTTATAGATTTTTATAGAGATTTTTCTCTAGCAATTTATTAACTTATTAATTATCTTGTGGCGTATTTTTTTTTACAGATGTACATATCATCGATCAATTCCTTTGTAGCCAGTTGGCTGTTTCTCTGTTTGATCAATCCGCATTATAGCAGAGCGGAAAGATCATACTGGGTTCCTTACTACATCAACGATCCTGTGCATCGTGAATCTCGGCCGATACAGTCAGTTGAAAAACAGTTCCAGTCTAACGTCCCAGAATCTTCGCAACACAACATTTATTATCGTAACTATTATAATTCCGTGCAACCTAAAGTATTTCCGAAAGACATGTATTCTGAAGTTAATGTAAAGCAAAACGCGGCAAAATCCACGTCGGAATCTGAAGTAGGGAAGCAATACAAACCGTATAATTATCCCGAATATCGATACGCTGGAAATCGGGAAACTCTTAAAAAAGAAAGCGCGACGTATTTCTCGCAAATGCAACGTTACGAAGAGGCGCGAAGAAAGGATGAAGAGATAATAAAGAAGATGAATTTGTTAGACAAACTGTTGTCCGAAAATAGTGACGAAAATGACATCGAGTCGAAAAATATAGTCGAAGACCTGATTGTCGCGGAAACGAGCATTCCTGAAGAGACGAAGAGAGTCGTTCGACAAGTTCGCAAGAAACGACCAGGATTTTTCTATACTTTGGCGAGAGTCGCTTTTGAGGTATGAGTGACAATAATATGTTTCAAAATTAATACATCTTGTGCGTCACATAAATAATTGTTTAGAAACTGTTTTGTTAAACTAAAGTTGATTTTTTAAACAAAAATTGAAAACAATTCTTTTTTCCGTTCAGCTCAAGTCCGGTTGAAAGGGAAAGTAGCAGCTTCGTTCCGTTTGATTGATAGTTTTCACTCTGTTTCAGACGTTCAACGATACACGGTCGGCGATCAAACAAATCAGTGATATCATTAGCCAAAATTTCGAACCGGATATGCCTACACAACGGCCAGTCAGCACCAATCCATTGACGATCGTTAATACGACAACAGCCGCGCCGCAAGATGATCAGAATAATGTGTCCAGCAACTTGGCGGATACCAACGTAACGACGACTATGAGGACGACAACGACGACCACGCCACCGCCTTTCAAATTCACGCCAACTGGATTTCAAAATTTACTTAGAAGAAATTTTCGCGGGTTAATCAGACTCTTCAATATCGAATGGCAGGAAGCTCTGAATGTGAGTTTTAATTGTAATCTGTTACTTTTTAATTTTTTTTACATATATTTATTAAATTATTGTTCAACAATTGCACTGCACTACAATAAATTTTATGACTTTTTAGCAATCAGAGATATCTATCAGAGAGTTTCAAAGGGATCTCGGAAAGCAAATAGGTGGTTTTCTACGGGACAATCCGAACACTGTTTAGAAGCAGCAAAGGCAACATCACAAAGAACAGTTAAACGAATTATGTAGTAGATATTAAAGTTCCGAATTGTACATAAGATTTACACACCATTCCATAAAAAATAAGGAACACTTTTCAGACACTTCGAATAAATTTTAAACCACTGAAACTCGGTGATAAATTATCGCAGACAAGAAATTGAAAAATTGAAAAACATCTTAAAACGTGAAGTTTGTATTTTCAGACGCTTTAAACCGTTTCTTGAAATGCGTTTGGTAGGCAAAATGTTGTAGTTTCTGGGACTTGTTATAAATTTTTTTTATTAAGCTGCAGAATGTTGAACACGTTATTTTTAACAATATGTCCTTCTTTCAAACTTAGAACTGTAAAAGCAAAAAATTTTTTTAAATAACTGAAAGCATGTAAAAGTACAAATTTCTAGTTTTAAAATACTTTTTCAATTTTTTATCTGCAAAATTCTCTATTTTTTGTGGAATAGTGTATATCATATAATGTAGTGACACGTTTATGGCAACAATTCCAAAAACTATAGTTGTCACTAAAAATAATATTTAAATTTATAATAATATCACGACACTGTTTATTTAAGCAAATTGCAAAAATAGATGTATGTAAGAGGTGGGTATTTATATTTTTTTAATTAAATTTTATTATACATTTTATCATAAATTAACTATAGCTTTTTAAATTAATGTTTATTTCTTATCCAATTCTTTATTGCCAAATTAAATAGACCGTTCAAAATTTAATTTTAACACTGCCAAATGAAAAGTAACAATGACACAACAACGTCAGCTCTTTGATCTGCCTTTACTGGCTATCTCTTTGAAATATTAGATTTTTTGAAATGACCAACTTGTCAAATTATAATTCAAATAGCATCAGAATTGACCTAAGAAATCCCAGGTGTACGATTACATCATGAGTGGGCGATTATTCTTAGATATCTCTACGATATATTGCGCAACGGTTTTTGGCTCTCAACCCACACGCCGGAGTTTTACGAGTGTAAGATAAAGAAAACGAAATGAATAGTTTTTTGAATAATTGGCCGGTGATGGAGAATGAAAGGACCTGAAGAACCATATATCGCGCGATTGCGATAAGTAGAAAGCATCTTCTTCGTTTCAAGAATTTGCGAGATCCTTAAGCCGGATTGGTCGACGCCTCGTGTGGGATTTCGCGGCATCCCTTATAGTTCGACGAAGCGGATCGACGATTCAATCGTCCGACTTGTGTTGAAACCTGCTGGTGCCAGTTGTAAACGATCTGCTTCGAGACGTGTCAAAAGAATGTTTTGGTGCTACGGTCTTTTGAGCTTCCTTCTTCTATTTGGCAACACGTATGGCGTAAGTTTGTACCACTTTGTACTAGATATTATATCGATTTTTAGAAAATTTAAATGCTAACAATTTTTAAATATAAGTCGTGTACTTTGAAAAATTAGAAATAACGTGCTTAATACACTTCATAGTTTAAATTTTACGAGTAATTTTATATACAACAATTCTCCACATTATAATGCTTTAATATTTATTAAAATATTTTTGACATTACAATAATTATTATTTCTATAAAGTTATTGTTATTATAACTTACGCTTAATTTTTTAAATAAAAAATTTAAAGCCAATTTGTCTTATGTCTTGTAAAAATCTTTGAAGGAACTTTTTTCTGCGTATTTAAAAAATTATTTCACTTTTAAGAATTGAATAAACTGCATTGCGAAATCACCTTTCCGATAAATGAGGAAGATTAGTGAATATTTTTAATCCGCGAAAAGTGAAAGTTGCAATAAAGACTAGATACTGAATCCGCAGTTGCGTGCGCGTCGATTTATGTGAATCCATATGTGCACGAATGTAATGTCCGATGACAGCAGTGTGGGTTGTATTTATCATATTTATCTCGAGGGAGAAATTTTTTAGAAAGACTCACGTAGCCTATCGATAGTTTTCACTTATGCAACAAACTGCAAAAAATTCAATCTGTACGAGCATGCAAAGTTTTTACGCTATCATATAAGAAAGAGAGATTAGCCTGCTTCATGCATTTCAGGATGTTTCCGAGCGTAGAGTGCGACGTCAAAATGCACCCGTACAGAATGGTCAACTGATAGACAACATCTTTAACGTACGTATTCTGCAACGTAATACAATTTTTTTGTTTAAAAAATATCGATTAATTAATCAATTCTTAAATAAATGGAAATATCAAACAGTAAAGACAAAATGTAGAGTTTCAATCTAATTAAAGCACTCTGATGATATACAGGGTGATCAAAACCTGATGTCCTTGCAATGCCACATTCTTGAGCGAGTTCTGAGACAACTTTTCTTTTTACAAAATTTTGTCCGAAGCTTAGTTTTCGAGTTATAATTGAAAATAGGTAGCAACTTACGAGTTCGGTACAACGGGCAGGCAGAGACGCGCAACATATAATGAGACTGTCAAGTGTTTACTATCGTCTCATGACACATTGCACCGTCTCTGCCTGCTCATTGTATCGGACTCGTAAGTAGCAAACTATTTTCAATTAGAACTCGAAAACTAAGCTTCGGACAAAACTTTGTAAAAGGAAAAATCGTCTCAGAATTCGCTCAAGAATATTGCAAGGACATCAAATTGTTTTGAATCACCCTGTATATTAAAAATAAAAAAGAAAAAATTGCCAAACTAATGCACTAAATATATAATATTCTATCTTGCAGATTCCGATCACGGCGATCAGACAAAGCGCCGCAGCCGCTCAAGTGATTTCACCAGAGAACACGGAAACGATAGACAATATTATTAAGGTCATCTATACACAGAATTACTCACATTTGTAACAAAGTGTATGTAATTATTTTAGATAATTAGTGCGTCAATCATTTACAGATCCCCGTTTCGACTTTGGAAGCTGTCGGTACACTCGTAAAAACTGCAACAGAGCAAAGGCGTCTAAACGCGGAAAATATTCGAAATGCTCGTCAAGAGAGGAGAGAACGGTTGGCGGCTATAAAGGAGCAGAAAAGGAAGCGGAAGGAGGAAATTCAAAACCAACGATTGCAGCAGCAACTGACTAGAGTTGTCAGGCATCACAAGGATTCGTTTGGATTGAACGCGTGGAGCGATTTTCTAATTGGACATCACGGATTTTTTGACGGACACCAAACTGGCGGACATCTTGGAAATCGCCATAAGCCAGGTGGCATCCACAAGCCTCATGAAGGCCACGGAGGTCACGGTCATGGTAGTCATGGTCATGGTGGTCATGGAGGTCATGGTAATTTTTTTTTAATTTTGCTAAATTATTGATATACCCATCGAAGCGTCTAATTAAACAACCGATCGTGAATTGTTTGTCGCTTGTCGAAGGTGGACATGAAGGAAATCAACCGAACCAGACCTACGCGGTCCATGAAAATGTCAACGAAGACACATCTTTCTCCTGGCATGGGCTGACCGCTGGATTCGGCACTTTGTACGGAACTCGACCTTCTAACACGGATGTCATAATCGAGAATAAGATTGCTCCCAAACAGAGAAAGCAAAAGGTTTTCAAATATCAGAGTAATTATGAACATTCTGACGACGCAATCGCGAAGATTAAAAATAAACCTGGACGCGAATACGACGAGCCGCCGTTAGAAAATAAAATTGCACCGAGAAGCGCAAAAGTAAAATTTGTGCGATAATAATGTGAATAAGCACAAAATATAATATTAAACATAATTTTCATTTTTAAGCATAAGTAATTATCATTCTACATTGCGCTTCGCATACTTTACATTTTGTACTCGTTTATGTCGTGAAAATTTCTGAAGAAAATATTTTTTACAAATATACTGAGTAAATAAAAAAAAAAACGTTTTATTATAATAATAAGATAATAATCAATATAATATTATGCAAGTAGGTAACTAACTTTTAAATTAAAAAATATAAAAATTGCAATTTATATATATATATATATATATATATATATTATACTTATAATATACTATATATATATACTATTTCTTTTCTGTTTTTGACTTTCTGCTTTGTTTAAATTAATAAAATTAGGTTTTCTATAAAATGTGATTTTTTTGAGAATCTTTAAACTCACGAAGCTCTAGCCAACACCCAGTATGCTTACAAGTACGTAGTTCTGTAAAAACTAGAAACTAATTGATTCTAGTTAGAGAAAATGTATTACTCATCGGATCAATTTATTATTTCTAAGTAACAAATATTGATGTGACGTCAAGAATATAGAATTAATAATGTTTAACGATAGAAAAAAATATTATAAAAACGCTATTATGGATTCTGATAAATGTGGTTGCGTTTTTAAAGATGAAATAAATTCTTGTTTATCTCAAAGATAAACACGAATTTACATCATACACAATATGTCATAATTCAATGAATTTAGCGTACACACATATATTAATATAATTTTTAACTTACTGTTATAAAAAAAATACATTTTAATTGACGTAAGCAGACAACACATAAATTCTTGATACATAAATATACATTTTTTTACGCACAAATATATGCATATATCAATCAACAGCGCGTGAAATTAAGCCTTGATCTTTTACCTTGCTCCGTAATTGCATTATAATATTAAATTTATGCATTGCATGTGTCTGCTGATGGACATTTGCAACACTTTTTTATATCTACTTTATTATTTTAAATATTTATTATAGAAGTCTATGTGAACAGATTGCTCGGACGTTTATCAATATCATTATAATGACAACATATAAAATTAAACATAATTCACAAAATAAAGATAAAAAATTTATTGCAAAATTTTTTTATTTTTTAAATATTTATTTTATATAAAATTGATATTATAGTTAAAAATATAATATTAAATTAATAATAAAAATAACAAAGAAAATCATTTTAACTCTATTTGTATATTTTTTCAAATAAAAAATTATTATTAATAATAGAAATATCTTATTGGGCTTTTTTTAAAAAATTAATATTTAAATGAATGGAATGCTTCAACTCAAAGGAGATTAACTTGGTTTTCTCATGACCTCGCAGTAAAGTGTTTATGTAATTTTACTTGATAATATATTGTCAGTCTTCTGCGCGGAAGAATCGAGAAATTGTCCCGTTTACAGCTTGTTCAACTAACATTATTATGATTCTACGCATTTGCAATTGTCAATCAGCATACATTATTATCAAACGCAACTGTGAAAAGAGCTATTACCATTCTGAATATTTTAAATGTTTTATTTTAAAGATAAATTTGTACGATCCAGTGAAATATTATAATATTTAAAAAATAGATATTTAAATGAGATTGATCACAAGTACATCTTCTAAACAAACTTTTTATTTAAAAAATTATTGGTATTATTTTATATAAATATTTTATATATATAAATGTGTTTCTACCATATCAATACTCTATTATTGGCAGAATCGGCTTGCATTTGTTCGATACGTATAAACTTTAGAAAATAATTAGCGACTTCCATTATCAACTATTTTACAATGCAGTTGAATAAATTACAATCTTTGATTGAATTCCGCATCGTATTAGCGATTTTAATTTCCGGTATTTTATATTTGCAAACAGAAATACGTTTTTTTGCATAAAAACAAAGGAAAGTAGAGCTTATAGTAGAATTCTTTAATAAATTTATTAAATTCTAAACTAAACATCATTAAATATTAATAAGATTGCTAAAGATTTTAACACAATGATTATATAAAAAGATTTTTTCTTCTCACAAAATTGTTTTATTCGTAAAAATCATTAATATCTATTCTTGATAATTCACTTAAAATCACTTAGTTATCAATTACGTTAATTTATTTCTATGAAAAAACTCATTAAAATATTAGTCATCTTAAACATTCGAGAAGTCGGTGTTGAGATGAACTCTGTACCAATTTTACATTATAATTCCGTAAAACTGCGGGATAAACCCGCAGTTCGCAATAAACGAGTGAACCATGCGGACCTCACCGAGCTTACCCCTTCCAGCATGTAAGTAAGAAATGCCCTCCGGTCAGACTGAGAAATCACAGTCTACCTGCCTACCAGTCCCGATTCTCCGTCAGTAAACGCGAAGATGTCGTTTGACAAGGTAGCTAACTGCTTGTTCATTTTCATAGTTCTGGCTGATGGGATGCCACAGGAAACGGCCGAGGTGCCCCAAGAGGAGCCTGGACCAGTAAGTTAAAAATCTTTCTCCTTTGTTTTGTTACAATTAAGAATATAAAGCTTTTTAATTGTTTCTAATTCATAAAATAAGCGAAGATTTGTGTGCATTTGTATTTATGGAAAAAGGAGTAATTTAGAATAATTGATATCATGATACTGTTAATACTGATATTACAAATAGTTCTATTTATTAGGATAGTGTGTACTAGTTGCATGGTCGGTTTTTGCACTATAAAATCAAGTGAAAATATCAAAAAAACTGAAGCGATATAAATTATTAAATCACGATTTCACGCTTATAATAGAAATTATTACGAAATTATATATTACGTGTTCTTCTATGTGTTAATGTTAAGATGCTGCAAGAGATGTATAGAATGGAACGAAATATGTGTTATTACGTATCTGAGGATGATGAAATAAGAAATTGCTTTTTACCTTGTCGTTTATTGCTTACATTCAAACCAGACAATTATAGGAAATATGCATATGCAAACAACCGTAAGATGAAATATCAAATTGCAGAAACGACAAATAAACGATACTTGAGTCAATCTTTGATTAACATGCATTTTTTTACGTGTCTAATATATCTGCAAGGTGACAGTGATGATAATTTTATTATGTTATTTGTGTCAAATCAGAATCTATAGGCACACATTGTAATATTATTCAATCAATTTATTTGATACCAGCCGGTAATTGCGACTAATTGTTTTCCGCGTATCTAGCATAGTTCTAACGTCATCATAAGTGACTATAAATAAATGCAAAAAAATAGCAATGCCTCGCGTGATCTATAAAAGTAAAAACAGATTCTAATTGCTTTAAAAGAAAAAACAAAAGAGACAAAGTAACACCTTAAACTGATTAGATAATCAGAAACTCCACTAGTGAGAGAAAGGATTACGGAAGTATTAGAAGGTTGCATAAAACAAAATTGATCATTTATCATTGATGTGGTTATATTAGTTGTCAATTATTAAATAAAAATATTATGCGTATACTGTTCGAAAACAATTATAGTTTTTAAAGTAAAAAAGAGCAAAAAGATTAAAACTGCTGTTAAGAAATTGCCGATACAAAAGAACAAGGAATTCTGTCTTTATTTATAAGCCTGAAAAATAAACACTGATAAAAATTATAGATGTTTTGTAACGCGTGTTGCTATTAAAAACCTTGTAACAATAAAAGTGAAGGAAACAAAGAGGCATTATAATGCTTACGAATCTTTAACATGTCGGTAGTGCAAATTATATGTTTAACAGCAACACCGTGTGTGTCGTTAAAACATTTTATGTTGTTTAGTAATTGTGTGCTGTTGAATCTACTATCTTATATCATTATATTCGTAACATATCCCGTCCGCTTTGAAATAATCTGTGTGATATCAAGAATAAGTATGACTTCAGTTGTACATGAATTTCAATGCCAACATAGTAAACTTCGTAAACAAGTGGCAAACATGCGTATCATCCCTTTCAGGTCATTTTGCACAATATCTAGCATGAAAATATTCGAGAGAAATTGTTGGGTCATGCAACGTCACGGTAAATAGTTTCGAAATTAGACGGAACGTCAGTAATTGAAACTCGCGTGCACACTCTTGAAAGGGGCCGGTTTTTATTTCTTACTGCGGAGAGAAGACCGGAACATAATTGCAATTGCACTGTCACCTACAATCTAGATATAGCATCCGTAAACGTAGATAACGTCGGAGAAACTTATACAACTCGCGTAAACCTTCCGTTTACGTAATGCAATCTCATTAATACCGATCGCGGCTATGATAAATAGATTTAATTCTTATGACTCACCTTGACGCAGCTTCCATTTATTCAATTTACGAACGGTGGAATTCGGCTGAACTTCGGAGGATATCACGCCCAAGCTGGACTCGGCGGTCTTCTCAGCGGACGAACCGCGGGAACGGGTGGTGGACTTCATGTGAGCGCTGGAACTCCGTGGGGTGCGCATGCGGGCGCAGGATTAGGCGGTCAATTGAACGGAGATGACGGCAATCTCGGTTAGTATTTGCAAACATTAAGAAATATTAAATTAGTGAGCTTTGTTGTATTTATGAAATACTATTAAAAAGAAAATTACACAATTTTAAAGTTGAAAAGCTTGATAAAAGTTCTTGCTACCACGAATATAATCTCACAAGTTTTTATTCAAGACAAAAATATAAAAAAATAATTAATTAAAGCAAGATATATAAAAAAAAATTTTTTAGGCGGCGGTCTGTATGCCCGCGCCGGACTAGGCCGTGGGAGACCGGAAGCGGCGGCCGGTCTCGGCGGAAGATTGGATGGCAGTGGACGATCGTTCAGTCCAATTTCGGGCGGTTTATACGCAGGCGCGACACCGGGTGGTCAAGGAGTCGGTGTATATCTCGGCGGAGGCGCCGACAAAGGAATAATCGAAGGAGTTGCGAGCGGCAATGCGCCTAATGAAATTCCGCGTACAGTCAATACGGAGGACATTCCTGCAACAGCCGTCAATCCAGATGCAGCCGCGAGTGGAACGAAGCCGGCGAAAGGCCGCACGAATATACAAATCATACCTTCAAGGGCAAAGAATCCGCAAAAGGAGAAAGAGGTTTTAATCAATATGTAGTTTGCATTAAATTGCTTAATAAGCGACGGATACAGCGTTATGCTTTTCTAGGTGTCAAATACAATATCTAAACGAGAAAACGAGAAACGGGAGGAAATTCATTGACAGTTTTCTAACACAACATCCGTAGAGTAGTCGTAATTTTGCTAGCTTCCATTAATAATAAGTCAAAGTGCGCATTAATTTTACATTGGATTTCTGGGATAACTCTTTTAACAGTTAAGTCATCATCTTTGAATAAATATATTCGTGGGATATTGTTTTTAAAATAAATCTATCAAATGTAGAAGGCGATTGAACCTACCACGCTACCAGTTGATGCACCTGCAGATGGAAAACCCGAGTCGCAAGGAAAAGAGGTGAGAAGTGAACAAATTACCTATTGAAAATATCGAATTTTTCAGATATTGGAAAAATAATCTAAAAAATTTATTTTTAATAAGATGCGACGTGCAGCACCTCTCGTTGTGGAAGGTGGTTTATTTAAATCGGTTTACGTTGCTCCGGCGCCTGTTGTAAAATCCGTCGAAAAGACCATCGTGGTACCTGCACCTGCAGTTCCAATTGCACCTGCAGTTCCAATTGCACCTGCAGTTCCAATTGCACCTGCAATCCCAAATAATGTCAACAATGCGGCTATACCAATCGGTAAGCAATCGTTACGCGACTCGCCACGTATCTGTTTGAGTGACATTTTATGAACAATCCTCTTCTCTTCAGAGAATCAGCCGAACGTAGTAATTACTAAGCCCGCGTATCCGCGCTGGTACTTCAGAAAGCGATTTTGGGGTGCTCCTAGAAAAACAGTTTACGTTACTCCATCAGCGACAATCGATTCCCAAGGTTCGCCTTCGGATATAGTTGGTGGAATTTATACCAATGCAGTGGGAGGTAATGACGCAGTTGTCGTGGGCAAAACTTACAGCGGATCCTTGTTTGATGATATTTTCAATGTAAGTTAAACTTTTACTCTGAGAGTCACGCGTGAGAACATAAAATTTTTTTAACGAACCATATTTTATCCTCAGATCCCAATTTCTACGTTGTCCGCTGTCAACCAATTACTGAGAAACAACGCCGGCTGAGCGTTCCAGTAACATGCATTTCCATTAACAAGTTCTTTTATACCTAAAAATATTATAATTAATGATTGCACATTAATATTTATGAGCAAAGATCAAGTCACGTTTTTTACAAGATCCTTCGAATATATTTAGCGAACATTACTTATTCAGCCCCATTCGGCGGATGTTTACTCTGCCTGATTGCGGATGCCAGACACGCATAATGCTTATCTTGTGGTTCCCTATACGTGGTTAGATTGTATCAACTGGTGCTTCCACACACAATTCTTTATTACGATCTGCGAATTATTTAACAGAAATACATTAATAAAATTTTATACGCGCGAAAAATTTGCCTTATATTTTTTAATTTAATTAAAAATAAAATTTAATGCCTTGCTAATTTAATTTATTGTTTTATAAATTTTATAAAATATATCAGTTTTATTACCTTATATATATTAGGTTAATGCAAAAAAAAGTTTGTTGTATTTATCATATTAAATATAATAATAAATATATAATAAATAATAAATAATAATAATAAATAATAAATAAATAATAAATTATACAAAAAAGTTAAAATTATCGAATTTTAGAATAAATGTTTATTAATCAGAAAAATTGCCATTGTGGCTTTAATACGCTTCTTTCATCTTAGGAAACAAATTTTTGCATACCGGATTTAAAAGTTCTGAGTTTTTGGAATTTAGAAATTCCAACGGCGTTTTTAATAGCTGTTTTGTACATTTTTTGTTTTTTAAAAATTGGTGGAAATGTTTAAGCAGGAGAATTGATTGTGATACATATTCAACAATAAAAATTGCCGAATCATGAAACAATAAAATAAAATTCTAAAAGTTACATAAAAAATATTTATGTATACGCACGTATACGTGATGAAAATTTGTTCTACGCACATGTCACATTACATATACTGTAAATTATAATAAATCATTTTTATAACCAATTTTATACTTGAGAAATGTCTTTATGCATAAACTGCGTACAAGATTTTTAAAACAAGTTACTTTTGCCTGCGTTATCTTGCTCATTGCTTTTTCTTATTCTTTTCCGGTATACTTAACTTACCTTGAAATTATTTTTAAGTGCAAAAACATGTTTCAGGGGCTGTTCAGTATCATTACACTTGCCAATTGACGCATTAACTCACATGTATTACGATTACGTTTGACCAGAAAGGTAAAACGTTATCATGACATACGAGACATTATTTTATCTTGATAATCAGGTATGCAAAAGACCCACGATGATGTTCATATTACCAGGAATTGTGAAATTCGGTATATAATTTTAACTATATTGTTTCAAAATTGTTGCTATTATTTATGTAAAAATTGGTATATGTAAATATGATTTAGCTTCTATTAAATTCTCAAAATTTACCAAGCTTGATACACCTTTTATTTATACTCGTATGCAATAATACGCGATTGCAATAAATTACGTTGTTGTCTCCATGTACATGAATATGAAAGTACGAATATAATGATTGTTGATATGAATTTTAATATTTACATTTTTCTATTGACACTTACATATTTCTGCATAGTACAGTGCCAACGTGCAAGTATAAATGTGACGATAAACAAGTTTGTTCGAAACAGTTCCGTTTAAAAAAAAACAGTCTACCAAGTTAAAAACACGTTAAATAGAGAAAATTCTTGATAGTTTTTAAATTATTATTTGATTAATAAGATTATCAATCGGAAATATGGAAATATGTCGAAAATATATCGGTAATAATATATATCTTTTTTTGTTACTGGTTTTTGCTGCCAGAACATTTGCTTGGTCAAAACATAGAAGAAACATAGATATCAGCGTATGTATATTTCAAATATTATTAGATACATTACAAATTATTATTAAAGCAAAATTTTTTAGGTAAAATTATTTTACCTAAGTTCTAAACTTTCTTTCATGCTGAATGTTTAGATTCTTAATTTTTTTTTTTATATAGGGTGATTCGCTTGCGGATGATACTTCAAGTTTGGCAGATTTAAATAATATAAGAAGAGTTGAAAATAATATTAATTTAAGGACGCTGCACACTTTATTGAAATTGGGTAAATCATCTGAAAACAAATGTTTAGGTTGAAACTTCAAATTTAGGTTTAAATTAAGGTTGTAATTTTAAATAAAACGTAATAAGTATATAGAACGTAAGGACACACAAATTTCTAAGATACGTTACTAATTATCAACGTTATCAATTATTTTGAATGGCCAAACAAATTTACAAAACAGATATCAATTTTTATTACTTTTTATAATAAATATTATTATTATATAAAATACATTTGACGTAGGAGGAATACCGTTGAACCCCTTAGCACCATTGGAAGATAATAACGATATACTTAGCGGATCTAGTAATGACGGAATACCAGTGAGTATTAGTAATGAAAAAAACTCTAATGAATTGTCTGACGAATCTGGAAATAATTACCAATCGCCAGAAGGATCCAATGATAACACATTTTTGGGACTAATCAATTCTGATCTGCGTCTAAGCTTAAGAGAAAGCGTTGATCTTTCGCTTCATACTGGAGGAATTGCTGCTAATGGCAACAGTAGAATATTAATTAATATTACAAAAATTGGAGGACATAAATCGCCTGAACAAAATTGCAATAATAATGGCACATCAAGAAGTAATCAAACAAACAGGAATGCAAATGAGAGTGGAAATTTAGAAGGAGAAACATCAAGCAATGAAATATTACAAAATAATACCAGTGATTTGATTACTGGAAACGACACAGATAGCGCCGAAAACATTAACGTAAGTAAAATTATTGTAACGCCAGAAAATAATAAACAATCTAATATATCTAGTAGCAATAACAATAGAAACAATAACAAAAACAAAATTTATGAACAACAGGATAATCAGGACGAAACAAATGGAGGCCGTGGTAGCAATAGTACAGTCGAAAATGTAAGTATTACGCATAGCAATAATGGACAATCTAATATCTAAATAATTACGGGTATAATAACACAAATAAAAATGATACAAAGGAAGCAGATGATGTAACACCACAGGAGGAAAATTATAATAATCAAGAAGAAAGAGAAAATAATACAGTATCACTTAATGGTGAAATATCTAATAATAATAGTACTAATAGTACTAATAGTACTAATAGTACTAATAGTACTGAGAGACCATACAACGGTGACGAATTTATTTCACCATTTATTTATAACTGCGAGGCCATTGTTTATTACTTATATAGGGTAAATAATTATTTTTTATATTTTTAATTATAAATACATAATATTATGCAATAAAAGCAAAGCATTTGCTATATAAATAACACGCGTTTATAACATTTAAAAATTTTAAATTAAAAAGATTCAGTTTTGTTTTATGATGTCAATGTTCTTTTTTTTTGCAGGTACAAAATGATGACCTGGCCAACATGTGTGAATCTTTACAACGCAATAATAATTTTTTCTACGAATTAGGTTGTAATATTATTCGTAACAATTCTTAAATTTATTTCAGATGATATCATCAATATTTTATAATATGAAATTTTTTCTTTTATAGGTCAAATCTGATAATTTGCAATAGAAATCGTCGATACAAAATTTTTGTTCAATAATATGCACCGATAAGAAAGATTTCATCTTTGGATTTATCGAAATCCGAAGAAACTTTCTGATCAACAATATTATAATTATAATACATGTATATATTACAATTGTTATAATGTAAAAATATATTTTGCATAACACATACTTATTCTCTTGTAATTTAACAATATAACATTAAATGTTAATAAATTTATAATATAATAAGGTATTTTTACTTATTTATTTTTTGCATCAAATAGTTAGATTTTTGTTTTTATTTATTCTTTACTTGTAATTTATAATAAACGCAGACAAACATTGTGAATTGAATCAAAAATTAGTTTGGATTCTTTTTGGATTTATTTTGGATTAATTAAATACGTATAATAATTAATGCAAATAAATATTGCCTGCAGTTAAATTGGTTAAAAGCAGCAATAAATAAAAAATATTTGAAATTGATAAAGAAAAATCACAAAGATGTATTTCTTAATAAAAACATAAAGCTACACATATTTTTGAGATTTTGGCAAAAATTATTATAATTATTGCAGTTGTTGCAATTATTATAACAATGTAATTGTTGCAATTCTTAAAATATCTTGTGTTATCCTCTATCTTTATGTGTTTGACATTTCACTTTCTGATTATTATTCATTCTAGTCACCTTAAAACAGTTTAAAAGAGATAAAGAATTCTTTAGAAACTATCAGAAATTACCTTGAAATAAATACACACGTATCAATAAAAATATCAAGTAAATTTTACATATATGGAATAACGAGACTGCTCGGAAGATGGTTTAAGATTATCAAATAAAAGGACAGATTATATTGTTTAAAATTATATGTTAGTCTTTTTAATATATAAATTTGATTTTTTGCTTAAAAATTTAAACAAATTTTTAATTTATCCCAATACAAACATAATTAATTAGTAAATGTATATAAATTAAATAAAATATAAAAATAATATTAAATAAAATTATATAACAAAATTCTTAATTTGTTACATAAATATCATTTATATTGAAATTCTATACAAATGATAATACAAATGACAAATATGCATGATAATGCGCATATATTCATGTATCTATGAAAATATCCATATCATAATTTATTCAATAAAATATGTAGTAATAATAACTTCATAATGAGACACGCAACATACACGTTTTAGCATGGTTTTCAAAACATGATAAGATATGACGATTTGTTATAAAAAAGTCCTACATAAGTCAAGTGAACAACAGTTTGCTAAAATACTTCTTTAGCATTGCTTTCAGTACAAGAATTGTTAGATAGTTTCCAAAATATTATTTGATGGTATTAACATCTATCAAAAATATGCATATATATATACATTTATTGTTCCTCGTTCTTGCAACGAGGACATTAGCTTCGCCAAGAGAATATAGAAGAGAATCTAACGTATGTATACTTCAAACATTATTAATGTAATTTATTATTATTAAAATTACAAAAAAACTATTTATAATACAAAATTTGAAATATGATAAGCCTCAATTTTGTCGTGCTTGATCACTAATTTTGTAACTTTTCTTAATTTTTCTTTCAAATAGAATGTTTCATTACCCGTTAATAGCAGTAAATATCCAGCAAACAAGTCCGGTTATTTGATTGAAAATGAACTGATTATTATACCAATTTTTGAGGGCGAATCAAGTGAATTCAGCGATGGATCACAAAGTAACGAAATAGGAGGAAACAATGGGACAACTACTAATAGTACTATGGAACTAGTACCGCTGTTTCTGATTGTTGATTATAGTGAAGAAGAGTATGGAAATGTGTCAAACAGCAGTGAAAACAGACCGAATAACGGAGGAAATGGCACTAATCAAATATCTAATCGTACTTCAATATCACAAAATCAGCAGAGTAATCGTACTTCAATATCACAAAATCAGCAGAGTAATCATACTTCAATATCACAAAATCAGCAGAATAATCGTACTAGATCTTAAAGAATTTTTGAAAGGCAACAAAACTGGTGGAAAAACGGAAGTGAGTAACAGCAATTACTTAGAAAGTGCAATTACAATATCGCCAAAAAAGTATACAATAAATCACATTGTAATAAAAGCAAAGTGCCTTTATCGATATAAATAATATATATCGCTTATTTTATAATTTGCAATAATTTACAAATTAAAGACAAAACTTAATTTAGCAATATTAATTTTTTTCTGTTTGCAGTTATATGATAATCTGCATAGAGTACTTTGTCAAATTCCACTACGTAGCGATATGATATCTCTTAATAAGCTTACAATATTTTTTTTAGTTAAATAGCACATCTTTTAGTAAGAGCTACAAGCATTATTTACAATAAAAAAAGATTTACTAAGAAGAAAGATATATATGTATTATAATAAAATGTTACAAAATGTTATAAATATATCTACTTATTCTCTTTTAGTAATCTCACAGTTTAATGATATAACAGTTAATAAATGTATAATAAAATAAATTAGTTTTTTTTTCTCACCAATCCTTTTATATAAGATAAATCAATTTTTATTTTTAATTAACATTTTTAAATATTTTTAATAATTTTAATTTGACTCACCGATTGACACTACACCTGATTTCCAATATGGAAAAGTACCAAACCCAATACTGAAAGAGAAAGTATTACAGTGTCGTAAGTTGGCAAGGCTGTCATCGTTGAAAGCAAAGTCTGTTAGTCGGTTATCCACTTTATAACAGCGACAAACTTCTACTTGTCGTTTTTAAAGCCTTTCTTTACTGTTCAAGTAAATTAATCGCAAAGTAACAAATTATTCAGATTAATATTTCTACAAGTGTAAGTGAATTTTGAAAATTGAGATTATCCTATTTTAAAGTTAATTTTCGAATAGAATAGACTTTTTTAGTCTATCTTTAAGTCTTATATTCAATTGAAAGAAAATATGCGGATTTTAATAATACTATTTATCTGCTGCTTGGACTTATTAAGTGCTCGTCCCGCAGAGGAACCAACAAGATTCACCTTCAGCAACATAGAAAATTCAGAAAATGTAATACCTTCAAGATTAGAAAAAACACAGGTAAAACTATGCATTTGTAAAATTTGTTGGCGAAAATACGTGAAAATGCAATCATTGTAAATAATAAGCGTTGTAAAAGCGACACGCACATATAAGTTATTTCGTTTTACTGATTTCTAAAAATAATAAAACGAAAAACTGCAAATATAAAATAATTAAAATATCTACATAACAAAATTTCTCACAAGTGTATTGTGCAAAATTCTAATTGGATCCCCGTGAATCGCCAGTATAATCGGCAGGCGAAGTCAAAATTACTGTTTTGTAGGAATTATTAGATCGTGTCGTTGATGCGATTAGAATTGCCAGAGGAAGATTTATCAGTTCAATAATATTGGCCAGAAACATCATAGTCAATCAAGCGGAGGTAATTTATCATAAATCCATTGAATTTCTGTCTAACAACAATTTATTTCTCATAACATAATTATACGTACAAAGTTACGTAATATTTTCACCAGTCTGTCGCCAATAAGTCGCCATGTTATTGCAATATAATTGGCATCGATCCTTTCGATTCATAATACTGAATCATTCATGAAGCGGGTAATGAAATCGTGTCATAAGAGTCTACCGTAAAATTTCGCATTAATTAAGCAACATAACAATAAACATTTAGTTTGTTTTTTTGCATTTTCTTTTCATTTTCGCTGTACATTTTAGCTACTAGTAAATATATTTCTTATTATTAAAATAAAAAATAGAAACATTGTACATATTATATTCTGTTTTTTTACAGCAGTTAACCAGCGAAACTCAAAACAATCTTGATCCGACAGTCTTTAAGTATGAGAAGCTTAATCAAAGTCGTAGATCAATAATACCAGTGCAAAGTACAACTCCCATAGTTTTGTTTCACCCAATACCACGAGAAACAGTTCGTTTAGAAAATGAGACCGAGCAAGCGATTTTAGAGAAACCAAACCCTGGCGTCATCAGACAAGTTTTGAACACTGTTTTGACGCCTAAGCCAATCGTCGATAAAATTCAGGAGGAGGAAAAATATGGTAATGCGGGGGATAGACATATCGGTGTCGGGAAAGCAGTCGTTAATGCTTACGAAAATTTCAGCAATTTTTTGAACACCTTAGTAGCAGTAAGTGTATTATAAAATAATTAATATATCATCAATGCAGCTAATAATAAAAAAATTAAAAAACAATTTTTTTTTAATTAATCTAGTCAAATTAATAAGTTATATATTTTTAGATTCCTCTTAACATTGTCCGACAAACCTCTCGAGGAATAACACAAACGTTGGATCAAGTAGGAGGACGACTTATTGGGCTTCAATAATGCCTGTAAAAGTATATGAAATATAAAATATATAATGTAATTAATTAACAGATGTTTATATAAATTGAATAAAACATTATTTGTTATATAAAAATTATTTATTTTGAAATTTTATAAAAACAATAATACAGATGTTTATAATGATGCTTTTAAGTATATTTGAAATTGATAACAAAGTTGAAGGAAGTATTTAGCAAACAATTATTTCACACTTTAGTGTAATTTTCAAAGAACGATAAGATATGTACAATGTTTCTTTATAAAGATGTGTTAAACAAGCCAACAAGCTTCAGTTTACCATTATTTTTGGGAATTATTTTACGTGTTTTATTTGAAGTAAAAGAATCATTTTCTAGAATTGAATATATTCAAACTGTGTTATACTAAAAGTTTTGACGAACTGGCATAATGCAATTTTGTGTTCTTTTACTATTTATCTTTATTGGAAACACTTTTGGAAGAGCAACTACGGATACGGTATACATTACATATACATATTGCATCTATTGTATTTTAATGATTATTTAATTATCTTTATTTATAATTCTTTTGTATAAAAAATTATTACTTGAATCAACAATTAATTTATTTCTTTTTATCCAGTTTTCCACTTAATAACAATGAAGAACAAAACTCATTGACTGCAAGTGTTAATAAAAATACGAAATTATTCATAGGCGATATACCTGATACAATTTCTAAATTAATTTGTACGTTTATTTTTAAACAAATTTCAAAATTAATTTTTAAATTACTTGGAATATTAATCGTCTGGATAATACATAAAATTGTTTATTTACCAATTTTGATAATAAAAATTATCATCAAGCTAATTCTATTGCCATTTACTTTGGTAAGTTGCAACTAATATTATCAAAATATAAAATAGATATAAAATATTCTAAAAAAGATATAGAAATATACAAATACTTTATCTTATTAGTTTATACATAAGATGAAGGAAGCCTAAAATTGAACTAAAATGTTTTTGTATTATTCTGTATTAATTTGCAATATCTTTTACGCCTCAACATCCGCGTTAGCTTTTGTTAGTGGTTAATGTTATAACTTTAGAAATTTAGTTGAATCAAAATTGAGTAACTAATTGAGTAACTAATTTTTTTAACAATTAATATATTGAACTAAGTTGTCAATAAAATTAATAAAGCTATCTATTTTAATTCGTGTTTATTAAATTATACAATAATGATATAGAATACAAATAGAATTACATAAGCTACTTAATATTATTAATTTTTTTTTTGTATATATGAAATTTCTTTAAATGTTTTGTAGCTGGGCAAGTTATTCAAATCCTTTATCTAAAACATATTTTTTCTTTAGAGTTTATTTAAGGAAAAAGCAGATACCGTGTAAGTTATAAATAAATTTTTTAATATTAAACATTAAATCAAATATTCTTTAATAATAATTTTATATATTTTAGAGTTTTTCATTTACAGGGACAAAACTAAACAACCTTTTTATTATTGACAATATAACATATTGTCTTATATCTATACATATCTATACGTGTGTAAGCATTGCAATCTTTATATAACTAGAAGATATATCTTTTTAAAATTATGTTAAAAAATATATATTATATAAATATGTTAGTATATATAAGTTGATAAAACAAATTTGCAGTTGTAATAAAAATAATGTTTTATAATTATGAATTTTGCGATATTATAATTTTATATTTTCCATAAATTTTTTGCAAACAATTAAATTAATATAAAACTAACAAAAAATTGCAAAATATACAAATTACAATTATTATTCTTAAAAAAGACTGTGTCTAATGTTCTTAAAAAATTACAAAATTGGTTGTTTAACTTTAATTAAATATTTTTCACTCGTTTATAAATTGGGAAAAATATACGAGAGATGTGGTCACAGCTTAATTGGCAACGTGCATAACCATTTCTTAAATTAGAGTCTTAATAATATTAATAATTTCAGTCGTTGCCGCGCTTCGACTTTACCATAAACACATTGTCAATGCATTCAAGTATCAAACTTGTACCGAGGTCATAGAAAATTACCCGTTTACATGAAAACATATCAGCGATATGCAGATTATAAATACTGAAATAATTAGTTATCCGCTATCAGGAACAAAAATAAATGAGTAATACTTAAGTAGTAACAGAAATATAACGCAGTTCGCATTGTCGTCCGCAAGTTCGTCACTATTCCGTTGACTCTCGGCCAAACATTTGATAATACCGTAAGTGTGCATATAAAACTCTTTCCCACAAGGAAACAAAACAAAAGTTTTGCATTATTGCTCCATTTTAATTCTAGATGCGTATGCATTTATTGTTGATTCTGTTCCTCGCGTGCTTTGCCTTAACGCGTGCACAAAATGGAACTCAGGTAGGTGCATCTTTTGCATCACAATGCATTTTCTTAAATTACGTATAACTACCATTGCTGCTGTATCTGATGTCTAAAACAGTGCAATTATTCTATTGATTAATAAATAAGTAGCGAATAAGTAAATAATCCTACTGCACTATCTATTGGCATAAATGTTGAATTTCTTTTATTCTTTTTTATAAGTTTTAAAATTAACTATTTGTAAAATATTTATTTAAATTATTTTCAATTTTATAATTTATAAAAATATTATACTTTTGCATTAAAAAATCTGTAATATAAAATTAATTTGCTGATAAAACAAAAATATATTTTTTTCCATTCTTTTTGTGCTTTTACGCAAATAAAAATATTTTACGCTATTTATAGCTAAGTAGTTACTTATTGATCCGTTCAAACTGTTTTACATAGTTTCCTGGTTACTATTCAAAAGCAAACTGCATAAATTAGATGTCTTCTTTATCTTTTACATATGTTTCTCGACGATACATATTATTATCCCTCTTTCATAGAACGTATCTTCACTTCAAGTTAATACAAATTCAAGTCTTAACGTTACCGAGGGAAATAATCCGATAACAGCAACATATCACAATTTTCAAAGAGTATTACAACATATTGTGACTATTTTTACGGAAGTATTACAATCAATCATTGCGTCGGGCGGAGATGTATTGCGCACTAGTGAAGAAGCGGTAAGTGTTTCATTTATTTATTACTCTCCTTTACTTTACTCCCCTTTATTCGTAAATTTCGATATCAAGATTAAATCTTAATTTTTGTTTTTTAGACTAGCATAAAATAAAAATCTTTATTGCTTTACAGTTTAGAAATTTAATACAATTGCTGCGACAACTATTTTAATGGATCCCGAGTTTTTTATAGCTCAATATTTTCTTAAGTACTGAAACACATCTTCTAAATTTTGGTAAGTAATTTGCATAGACACACAAAGAAAATTTTATATTAAACAATAATGCAATCTTAAATCACATTTTACTATTTTTTTATTATCGGTGGACCGATAAATATTCTGAAATATATTCTAGTATAACATAGTAAAATTTCAAGCAAACACTGTTAAAATTCTATTTATTATTTTTTTTTTAAATGGGTAATAATATTTATACTTACAATTCCTTCATGGTTCGCAGCTAGTTTCGACATAGTAATTTTTGATATCAAATTTTCTCCGTGTATGTAACTTTCTCTGGAAGTTTTTATTATGCAAAGTATTATTTTTTACGTAGTTAATTTATACTTTAATTAAGTGAAGAAATTAAAAGCGGAATAGAGAATAGTGTGTAGTTATATAAATATATTATTTATTATATAATAATAATTTATTTTTTCAATACATAATACATCACTGTGTCGTCTTATCATTTCGATTCTGGATTATACAGTCTTTAACATCGTTTAACTTGTCATATTCAATCGATTGCTTCGTCAATATCATATAACATATGAGAATAACAGAGAGTTTATATTTATTTTAATTTACTAAATTTATATATTTATCTCTATATATATATTGAATACAAAAAAATCTTAACAAATTATTCATGCTTACGATATTAAAGATAGTTGATGATCTATGATTTCTATTGAGTACGTGGACTAAATCACATAATCATGCACATTATCTACCTAAGTGCTTCTAATCATTAACGTCAAGAAACGATGCGACGTGTAATTAGTTATTGTAAAATGAAGATTGATCATTTCAAATGGATGAATATTGAGTATACAGTGATTAGAGTCATCTTCATTATTATGAAAGTAGGATCAACTTGTTCCTTTAGAAAATTGCAATTTAATGATCGATCATGAAACTGATCCTCGTCATTATATAAATTATTTTCATATACATATTAACTTTTCTGTTGCCAGGTGCCATCTTTGCAGATAACTATAAATATTGCGTAAAAGGATGCGTAGATCATGTGTTGCCTAAGAGAATTAAAAACATAAATAATTAACAACCGACATATAAATATCGCGATGTTACTCACTGGAAATTGTAAGAAACATTATCAGGACTAAGGAGAAATCCAACAATTAAATACCTATTATAGTTTTTGGTACACAGCGGAAACTTTTTGGTCAACTATACGTCAATGTGTCTTCATCAGCGTAAAAATACCGCATATGTAAATGCATAATGTTCAATAATCATCAATAACGTAACAGTTGCGTTTCTTTTTCGTTCTTTCCCAACAAATTTTCGTTTCCCTCGTGGTTGTTTACTTTTTACAAATACATGCGGATGCGACGCGATCGAAATCGGCAGGATCCTCTCCGAGAATGGGTCTTCTCGGAGAAACGACCGATCCCGACGATTTCGAAGAGACTCACTCCCGCTGCGCGCAGCGGAAATCGAAGACTCGCGAGGGCGGGGTGTTATCGACCTTAGACGGTGGTCTCGTCTAAGATCGATCGGAAATTCTAGGTATTGGTGGTATCGTAGCTCTTGTACGTGTGGGATGATCTCTTGTGCCTGACCGTGCAGAAGAGTATCATGCTGGCCACCTGGCCGAACAGCTGAAGGAAGGCCACGACGAGACCCACCGTGCCCACTATGTGGAGTCTGGTCACCAGCCACATCTGAATGGCGGTTGCGCATCCGTCCTTGTACCAGAGCTCCTTGTTGCGACCCTCCGCGTCCAGGCGACCACAATAACGTTCCCGTTGCACGCAGCAGGAATCGGGCACCCGATCCTCTTCCGGCCACGCCTCGATTTGGAACCAATCCGTGTAATCGCGTACACCGCAGCAGTGAAACTGAAAATGAAATACACTCAGCTTTAGCGTCTGCTATTTTTCGTCTTTCCGACAGAGTATACGAAAGCTTTTCCTTGAAATTGATACAATTAAATATAATATTTGTATAGTTATTTCTTTTAGGCACACCAACCTCCGTGTGTATATGGTCCCACATGGCGGAAAGTGTTCCTGGCTCTCTAGTGATATTGTAATGCCTCTCGATGCCGTATAGTAATTCCTCTTTTAAGCTTCTCGCAAGATGCTCTCTGAATACGAATGCCAAAGTTCCCAGCATGAACTCGGCGAGAAACATGAGTATTACCAAACTGAAGTACTGAAAATTACGAGACATAAACATTTATATTTTATTAACAAGTATGTATTTTTTCTAAAAAAAAAAGTACACAAAAGCCGCTCAGAACCGCTCAGGTTAACAAAAATTTACATAAGTTGACTGACAACAGAAATATTCAAGGTAGCCAAGTTGTAAGATTAACTCCGTGCGCTGCATACATAGTGCACTGTGTACTTTTGCAGAACACAATGGGTCACGTTGTATTTACTAACCGTGATCAGCATGCATCTAGACTGAAACCACGCGCCGCAGCATCCAAAGAAGGCGATGACGAATGTGACGCATCCAGCGGCGAGTAGCAGCGAATCCGCTGATACGAAGCTATACTGCGGCACCAAGGTCGCGTATCCGGAATAAGCCAACCGCAGCCAAAGGCCTGCACCCAAAATTCCGCAAGCGCATAACTGTAAAACAAATTACACGTGTCAGTTGCCGCCGTACATCATAAACGTCTGACTCTTGACAGACGTAGCCACTAGCTCCGTTAAAATCAAAGTGCATCCGCGGATATGTTATAGAAAATAAGTATTTATTTCTCGTAATTATATCTGACGTTCTTTTAATTATATTTAATTATTTTAAATTTTTTGTTAAAGAAAAATTGACTCCAAATTGACTAAAATATTTGTAATAAAAGCAACATCCAGTGATTCTGAAGTTTTCAATATACAAAAAATATATATATATATATATATATATATATAATACATAGATATTAATATTATTTTTCTTATTTTATTTTACATATTTCAATTTGAAACATAAGTAATATTATAAAGAATATTATTTATCAACAAAGTACATACATTCTTTATATACAGAATATTCCAAAACCACTATATATAAGTGTTATTTTTGTTATAAATGCATATAATATATATAATTAAATACAATTTTAAATCATAATTTAAAATTTAAAAAATCCATTCTGTTAGCTGTAAATTTTGTAGCTTTACGTTAACAACAGTTATCAGCAATAATCCGTGATGTATGTATGTATATTCAAGTATCCGCAAAAATCTAATTAAAAGTATCTCAAGATTCTTATCGCACGCTACTCATAGCACGCGAGTTCACTAGGTCAATGTCGTGTTATTTAGTTGTCCCCAACAATGCACGCTATAAAAATGGTCGCGATTACGCAGTGTTAAAATAAAATCGGGAGTGGAAAGTAGGCTGTAAATTAGAAAGTACACATTTGCGATTTTGCGAATGACTGGCGTAAAAGGAAATTTAATCACATTTGACAGCTGTGCAAACTTCTTTTAGTCCATGATTGATGTATCGACAAATATTTGGAAAATCAATAAAACTGCACGATAATATCTTTCACGATAACAATATTTAAAACTTTTACGCGACTAAAAGAATTTAAAATATGAGTGAAATCGCGTGTTACTTCGCTAACTAGCGAAGTGTATCGTCAATTCGGTCAGTGGTATACATATAACGGTTTGTCGTTCACCTGCTAAGTTATTCGCAAACAGAGAGACTTCGAGAGCCCACACACGTTCGAGAGAGCATAGAATTTCTAGGTAAGCCGGTGAGTAACCCATTGCGCGCGCTGTCAGTGACAGGAAGTCAACCGAGCGACCAGGTGAATGCTGACCTTACGGCTAATTCATCCGAGTACCGTAAATTGCAATACGCTCCATGTGCAATTGCGACGTCCCTCGTTATCGAGCCCGACCGTGAACGAAGGGACGAGGGTATTTACATGTGCACGCGCGCAAGTGATGTGTAAAGCATCGGCGAGTATCCGTGAAGCGTTCGCGCGTCGTCTGCGGAGCACCGCAGCCGTAATTTATAAATTGCAACTTGCGCGGTGCAGTATGATTAGAAAATTAATGCACTGTTATGTGACCTCAATGTGGCTAATTGTACAAAAGCGCGTCCGTACTTTCTAATTATCCTCAATGATGCATGCGTGAAAAAGGCCTGAAGTTTTTACAATGGCGAGGAGTTACATAATCCGAATATGTATCATCGGTATCATTAAATATCCCATTTGAAACAAAAAATTCACCATTATCATTAAAATGTATTTGTCTATACGTTGAGAAAAGTAGAATTTTTTTATCCAGTTATATATTCCAGTAAATGCGAAATAATGTTAAATTAACTCAATTTATTGACCGCATCATTTATTTGCTCTAGCATTAGAACTTTAAATTAATTTTACATCGGATGGGATTATAAAATTGTTATTGAATTAATTGAATTAATTTTAAGGCACGTCAGTCGATTTGTCTGTAATCATCTTCAATAATACGTACGTATGTCTTTGTATCTAAAGTTCGTACAGTGGGAAAGAACGATCATTAAAGTACTATGAAGTGCGAAACAACAGGTGACACGTTTAATGGTAGTTAAATACAGACAACACGTGTGTACTAGTTTCAACACACGTACAACACAGAGTAATCAGACTATCGTACACTTAGGTACCGTAAGTTCATAGCTCATAGAACACGGTTCAACGCCCTATTTAAGGCTTTCATCGCAATGCAGACATCGCGGACGGACGATTTCAAGTGGAATAATAAAAGCCGGCGGGGCACACATACAGAGAGAGAAAAAGAGAGAGAGAGAGGGGGGAGGGAGAATGCAGCGGAACGCGGCGCGAATTACAAAAGCGCGTCGATTTAATCGCCCGGCCCTGCGTGGGCTGTTCATTACTGTTGGCCATTGTCTCATTTCTGTCGTTTCTGACCAATTGAAGTCGCACATGCACTACACGTGCACATTGTGTTTATGAATTGTGTGCTAACGAAACATTTCATTCAAGTTCGCCAAGACGTTCTCATACATATCTTTTCAGCACGAACGAGATGCTTAAATATAGCTCAAGTCCCGTTCTCTTGAGAAAAGAAATAGCTCGCAAATATAATCGAGTGCAAAATAAAACGTATTTTGTATCAATTGTATTAAGTTGCGTAATAAGTACTTTCGTATTTTCCAACGATGTTGCTTTTTACGCACGCACTCTTTTACGCAACGTGAAAAAATCGCGACGCGGAACTTGATTGCAACTTCGACAACGAGATATTTAATTTCCGCGTTGATCAGACTGCGTTTGGCCCGACAAAAAAGTGGACAGTTTTATTTGAAAAAATCCAAAACTACTTATTACACGGCCCAACATATTCGTTTCAATCACTGTTGAAAGTATTGTACGCTATAGAGAAAAAAGTAGCGTTAGAAAGAATTGTCAAACAAAAGTAAAGCTCCATTAATATATTTCTTAAAACAAAAGTCTTCTACATACCCAGATTAGAACGTTGACGGAGCAAAAGACGTGCCTGATGCACGTGTATCCTGTGCGGCCCATGGCTCGATCGCTCATCAATTGCTCACTTCGAAGAGGCTGGCAATGTTTCCTGCAAACGTAGAGATAGCAACGTGATCCTTTTGCGCAAATAAGAGACAAATAGCGTGTCGTTCGACGTCAGTAAAGATCGCGGAAATAGCACTACTCGAATTGACGCGCGGCAGTCGCGCTTTCATAGTTTCGGCGCGATCTCAGCGGTTGTTCAGAACGCACGATATACCGCAGCGTGCACTCATCAGCAACTTTCGCCTTTCGACGCGCGGCTACACAGAGACAGGATCTCCGTTTCTTCTCACAGATTTTGTTACAGTAATTATCACTGATAAGGAACCCACCGTGCGCATCAGCGCGAGAGCCTCGTGGTGCGCATCACGGATCACCAGGAAATACTACGTCCACCGTTCGAGGAGCAAACCGAGAAAGATAGGATCGTGGGAGGTGAGAAGGAAGGGGAAGAAGCCGTGACGAGAGTGTGAGAGATGCGAAGAGAAGGAAAGGGTGGACGAGGAGGGTGGAGGAGCAGGCGAGGGGCAAGAAAGATCGACGTGCGAGCTACGCGAGGCGAGGATTCCGCTCGAACGCACCGGCGAGGAGAGGACCCGGAGGATCGTCCCGGCCGACTAACTGCCGATCGACCCGGCCAGACAATAATCCTCGTCATACGAGAGGATCCGCTCCGATATGTCCGGGAAACGAGTCGATACGATTGGCTCCGGTCCGGTCTTCTCTCGGGCCTTCTAGGTCCGCTAACGGGACAGCCGCAACGGCGATCGACGCGGCCGCTCGCCTACACGCGATCACGATCGCGATCACGTAGATCGTAACGGGAGGTGGAAGTGACGGAGAAGCCGCGCGCGTATCGGACATCACTTTTCCCGTGGGCGATCTATCGAGCAGCGAGAAAAAAAAAAGGCACTCTCAAGGCCGCGCGTAGAACCCCGAGAGGCGTCTGGCCGTTTTCCCGTTGTCTTCCTCGCGTCTCTCGCAGTCGATACTCTTTGTTAACCTTTTATTAGAGACAGAATTAAGGTCTCAGAGTACACAGGACGCTAAGGTGTAAAGGTGAAGGTAACGCTCGGCGAAAGGTCTCGTATATAAAAATCTCTGCTTTCGCTACGCAATACTTTCCTAGAGAGAGAGAGAACCAGGCGCACATAATATTCCATTAACTGAAATTACTTCCCACAGTAAATGTATGTGCTTCTTTTTTTTTAAGTCGAAAGATAAGATCAAATTAAATTTCATACATTATCGGGCGCATTGTTTCGGCTTGATTAGTTAATTCGGCTTTATTCGAAAAATTACCTAAAAATCATGTTTTAGATATATACTTTTTGCACATCAAGTTTAAATTAATTTAGCTTCAAACATTTATTACGCTTTTATGTAATTTTTGATGTACAATAATAGTTGTAACATACTGATAAAAAAGTAATCAAAGTATACAAACAATTGGTCGTGAAGAAAGAAACTTCAAAAGCATTTTCGGAAATTTAAATGAGATCGTTCGAAGAGATTCGTGCAAATCTACTATCTTTAAATCGCGATAGTTATGCAAATAATATTGATCTGACACGAAAGGTTACTTTAAATAAAAAATTATTCCTACGATATTTCACATCAGTTGCAGTAACATCATCGATTACAATCTCACGTAGTTACGATGCATTTCATCGATCGTTATCGCTGAGTCGCTCGCGATACATCGTAATTAGCATAATTAGTTGTGTAGTAATTTCACTGAATTGCTCGAACGAAATTCTCCTTCGTGTCTTTATGAAAGCAGCGAGATTGAAAACAAGATTATCTGGGTCTATGATTAAAGCTAGAAGAAGGAGCATCTTTGTGTCTAATCAAGATTTATTATTTTTTGATATACAATTTTATATATAAATTCTTTGTTGATATTTTCTCTATGAAATACTGTTAAAACGTCAACGATAAACAAATAGGCAATTAAATAAATTTTTACCTGTGAGAATGCATAATTAACACCAATGATAATTTGAAAGCATATTAAGCCGTTCTTATTAATGAATAAAACGTTAGCGTAAGTAAAATTATTCTTTACACACACATTGCACACTGCTGCAATTTGTACAAATAAGTGCTTTTTGCAAACTTCATATATTCGGCACTAAAATTTGTCTGGTAATATTTTTCAGAACGCGGCACTAGTCCATACAAGTATTCGCGAGTTAACGGAAAATCTGTTATCAGCTCATTGCGTAGTTAATGTATTCTCTCTCTTTTTCTTTTTCTACTTGCAGCAATGAGAGCCGTTATCAGGATTGAATAATATTGATTCGCCTTATCATGTGACGGCTACGCACGCTCTCACGCAGAACTCCACCCACCGCCGTAATATTCGTGCCACTTGTCGCAGGCGATCGTCGCATTAAATAAGAACGTTCGCGAGAATTAAATCGATCTAGTGGGAAAGAACGCGCGAGCGGATGGCAAAAACGATGAAGAGTGGAACGGATGCGGATATTCTCTTATGAAAGAGAATATCCGCCGGTACACACAATCAAACTTGCAAAAGACGTTCGTAGATTTTATCTACCTCTGTACTTCATCTCGCGATCGGCCACGCAACGCGTTAACGCCACGGTGACATTTATAACGTTTATTATAGTGTCAGAAGGTGCGCGAGGAAGAAAGCTCCCTCATTGCGGTGTTCCAGTATGAGATATATTTATACGCCATGAGATACGCTCTTATTTTTATCCCAACTGGCTGTTACATTATTATAGAAATTCCGATACCTTCCGATATATTCCGATAACATCAAGTTCACTATCGTGAAAACATTTTGTGTCATTATTATCAAAGATAATTTAAATCAAATAAAATAAACTTTAATTTTGTTTTTTTATAAAAAAGATTCACCGTAAAAAAATTAAAGTTTTGAAAAAATTAATTATTCTTAATTATTAGAACTGTTCCCAAAAAATTAATTATTTACCTTACTTAAGCGTGATGAGAAAATCTGTACAAGTGTAGGCACGCAATCATGATCGCAGAAGAGAATTAATCGACACCGAGATCCATTCGGTGGACGAAATGGAAGGCTGCGTGAAAATAATGTACATCGAGGAGAGTGCGAAGGGGCGCACAAACGGTCCCCCCGGCCTCGACTTCCTGCCAATTGCGGACAATTTGCGATCATCTATGATCTCCCCACTCGCCGACGGCTGTGTTGTCGCGTGAAACGTGTGAGTGTATGTGGACGATGCCTAAATGTAAAAGTTAACGCGGCCCGGTTCTCTCTACGGCCTGTTTCGCCTCTTTCTCCTTTTTATGTGCCATCCGATCGCGTTAACGCAGTCCTACGCGCTCAGCTTCCCACGTGATGTAATCGAGGAAAGAAGCTCGCACGCGTGTCTCGTTATTAATCTTCCGGCGGTCGCAGACGTGCATGGAATACGCGGCTGTTTTCACTGACGCAGAAGTATCTTTCACTGAACTTTAATTGAGAACTTTATGTTTAACTCTTTGTTTTTTTACAGAAATTCCTACATTACTGCTAAACACGGATTAGCTTGTACGATACACTTGAACATTTTTCATTATTTACGTTGTATAAAGTAGAACAAAAGTGTGCTAGATAAGTATTTACAGGATACATTAATTTACTTCATATGAAATGGTTGCGTAGTTCGAGTCGTGGCAGTTACATGTTGAAAACACGATGTACAAAAGCTGTAATTATGTCGCTTTAGAACGGGAAGAATGTCAGGCGTAACGAGCTTGCTGAAGAGAGCTCTCATGCCGTAATAGAGCAAGCTATGGTATTACCCTTATTACGACGATCCTCAATTTCCTGATGCAATCAAGTGTCGGATAAACAAAAATCATGATTACGTAAGAGTAGCTGCAAAATGTTACATGCAATAAACTAATTACTAATCGTAAGGCGAGATGCCAAGACATGCGTATCCTTCATCCGACAAAGACCCATACAAATACGAATCCAAGCGATAATCTCTCTCGACCCTTTCTACGTGATTGGTTTCTTAAACACGGTCTTAAGAAAGTTTTCTTTTTGGTCGATAAATCCTTCTTTAAAATGCTGATGTCGTCTTTAGAGCGTTTGCGTTTGTCAACCCTTCCTCCAAAATAATTTTCTCTTACACATGCTTCTATGCTGTATGTATGGCAGTTATATAGAATGATACTTAAATAAATATTAATATTTTAAGAAATAAAAAAAGTGTTAAATTAAAAAAGAAATATAAATTGTCTACATTTTATTTCTTAAATAATGTTAAAAGAAATTTTAAAAAGTACTTGGAATATTCATTTTTCGCTATAAAACATCGCATTTCGGCACTTCAAGTATTTTTTTCTTTGTTACAACTCAATAAATAATATCTAAATAACTTATATTTATATAATATTCCTGTGTTTTGACTTTATATTCACTCTTTAAGTGTTAACGAATTTTACACGCCGTATTTGTAATGAAAATGTAACATTGACAAAATTTATTTTAAAAAATTAATTATTTCGTTAAATTAAATTAAAAACTTGCAAATGAAGCTATTTAAATTCCTCTTGAGAAAGAGCTATATCGGAAATAATCATACTTATCTCACAGACGCGTTATCTGCACGTAAGGGTTGAAATGAGACGTTTCCGATTGCATTAGCCTTAATGTTACGTGTTTTCAGACCTAATTCTAAAGATTTTTATATGTGAAATAAATAACTTATTCATATCCATATTACATTTTACAATAATTAATTTAAACGATTTTAAGCGGCCAAAAGCAAGTGGATCAGCCTAAAGTAAACAATACAATTTTCATATTCATAAGTGTTCAAACTTAGAATGTGCAAAATCTCCCATGGATTTATGGAAGAAAGAGGAGAGAAAGTATAGCAAAAGGATAACATATTTTTGTTAAGGAAAGTTCCGATTCATTGTTCTATCAAAGGTGCATGGGAAGAGAAATCGACGAGCGTCCTGTTCGCACGATCGATTTCCTGGCATTTGGTACAATCGCGTGGCGTTGTCAACACCTTTGACACGGCCGGAAAATGCTCGGAAAATTAACAATAGCCCCAACGTCCCAATTTTCTGAATACACGGGAAAATCGCAGAATAATAAAACTTTCCCTTTATTGTTTCGGAAGAATGAAACAGACATTCTCCGTACACTTGCACTTGCTACGAAGTATCGCGCTCTATTAGATAGATTGTCTAATTCATAATTATAATAAAACGTTATGAAGGCGCGTTTATGTCGGTAAACTGGCGTAATAGTCTGTCGCTAGGTCGCGACAATTCGTTGGAAACGTATTAATCCTTTCCGTCGAGGTCTAAATCATCTTGTCGAGGCTGATGAGACCATGAGATACACGCGGCAATATTAATCCGAGCAGTAATACGATGATTCTCTAACGCGATAAAGAGGCAGAAGTAGAGAAGCAGAGGAGACATTGAATTCAGCCTTCAAAAGCAATTTTAAAGAAGATCTAATTTAAAAATATTATTTAAAAAGATATATAAATAAATATTGTATCTACCAATGTCTAGAAATATCAACAATTTGTATAACTCGTATTAGCAAAAATTCCAAAGAGATCTTATAAACAAAAAAATTTTTTTTACACTATACAAAACTTTTCTCACACACAAATATTAAGAAAAATTATTTTGCGTATTTTTAATGTTATATATTTTTGTAATTAAATTATAAATCAAAATTCTATATAAGTAATAATTTAAATTAATTTAAAAAATATTATTTTGTTGTTAGCTTTTTTAAAGCTTAATTTAAAATTTTCTTATTTTTAATTATCAATTATTTCAAAATAGGTTATGTTGCGGTACTTTGTGTCAAAAAATTGATTTTAAATAAGCCAAAAACTTTATGGTAAAAAAGACCCGATTATTTTAATATATTTGGTACACGATTTAAGACAGTATAGATTTGTTAATAAAACACATTCGTAATAATTTATCAGATCAATATCCGTCTGTAAAAAATCATGCACCCGATAGAGCGAATAATAGCTAGTAATAGTAGATGAACAATGTAGTCACATAATTTTATTCGCTCGTATATTTACGCGTGCAGTTATCGTTAAATCGTTGACAAATACAACATCGATCGCATCCAGATTGTAATTGTAAGCAGAAATACGGGCGGTTCACGTGCTGAATTCGCGAGACATTTCATAACTCTGCTTTGCTGGTTGTAAATCACATTTACACTTTATTAAGCGGGTCTTATGTTACAAACTTGGCTTATTTGTGCTATCGACTACAAATAATTATTTGAAGAATTAAAATATTCCATGATCACAAAATGCCGCAAGTACAATTTTGAAAATCCTAAAATATTCTTTTTTGCGTGTATTTAGTTGTTAATAATATCCGACATTTCTTTCATTTCTGATATCACTTTTCTTTAAAAAATATCGTAACAATGTATGAAATAATTTTGCTGCTTAACATAAAAAAAATCTAATATATTCTTAAAATACCAAATTTATAAAAATGTGTGCTTGGTGAAAGGCAATTAAAAATTAAAGATAAAATATGTTGCACAGAAAACAAATAAGTTTTCAATAAAATAATAGTGCTGATCACTCACGAGTGGGATAAAGAAGCTCATCCGTATTTATTCCCCGTATAGAGAGTTATCGCCAGTTCTTCGTTATCAAGTGATTCACCGAAAAATTCATCGAAGACGTAGTCAAAGATCGACTCGCTTTGCTTCGCGGCAGCTTTCGAGTTCGCGGATCAACTGCGCGATACCAGCTCGTAGAAACATCCGTTCTCCGCTTCTCCGAGACTATACCGGGACTGCCATCTGACGGTCCGGCTAAAACGACCCGATACGGCCCGATCGTAACGTTAATTATAAAAATTTAAGAAATATATGTTTATTGATAACATTATTTTGATTATCACAAAACAAATTTTTCTTTATATCATAAATTTTATTCTAAATAATTAAGTAATTATATGTCCGCAAAACATCAATTCTTTGTGTAATGATGAATTCATAAACTATTAGAATTTAAAGACAAAATAATTTTTTTGCGTAGTTATAAATTAATTATAGATAGAAGGATAATTACATAAATCTATTGCAAAAATCAAGAAATATTTTTTTAGCAAAGTTTATAAAACTTTTATTTTATAAAAATCTTCTTTAATCTTTATTACAATTCTCTTCTATTATTTATTCAATATTTACGTAGTATTTATTAAATTTT